GGAAGAACAAAATTAGCATTTATGGGTTCTAATTAAATTTTGGCTTCCAACTATGATGTTTTTGCTTTTCGCTAAAAATAGTGCACTTTTAAACTAGAGAAGGGAATAACAAAATGCCCAAATTATTAAAAGGAAATTGATGGGATTGGCACCATTTTGTCTTTCACAGTTTCTGATTCTTCGCAGGCTATCTAGAGTTCTGTTTCGTGAGCCATAGAAAACCCCGTTTCACCAGTGAGATAAGATAAGATAAAAATTATAAATGTGAACGTGCTTTTAAAAAAAGAGAACATTCCTTTTAAATGACTGTTGTTTAGTATTATGACTGTCATAATACTACTAGCCCTTGGACCAGCAAGAGATTCTGTATGAACCACAGAATATGAATGCATAAAATTGAAAATCTGTATTGCCTTCAGTTCTGCCCGGGTCAGAAATATCAGAAGTTGTTCAAAGTCTTTCAAAACCAAAACCAAAAATGGTTCCATGTGGAATGGATGGTTCCAACAATAACAACAACAAAAAAAGGCACTTGGAACGGAAGAATTTCACCTGGACCTTGTATAGCACACCCAGACAAAAATAAGACTTTGTTTTCCTCCAAAACACCCTGCAAAATGCCTGCAACTGCTTAGTTACTACCAAGGGAAGATGTCTCCTTCTATTTTGGTGGCCCTGCAGCTTTCTCTCCTTAATTAGAGCCTCCATATTGTCTGGCCATCTGCTTCTGGGTTCTGCCCAAATTGTGATGATGGCAGGGGTAGTTTATGATCTCATCCTTTTAGTGGGAGGATAAATTCCACATTAGTCTCATCACGACAAAATGCCTCTGGGGAAGACACAAGGACTCTCATGGCGCATCCTGTGTAGCAGCTAAACATTTCCCCTGGCTGTAGAGTTTGCAGGGCTTTTCTGTTTGACCATCTCACGGCCAGCTAGCATGCAAATGTCACATTCAGAACAGATTTTGCATACTTTCTCCACCGCTGTCCATACTCTGTCTCCTTCTACTGATTTGCTACTTGATAGAAACCTTTGTTTCCTCCATGTATATAGCTGTCTTCTCTCACGTTGAGTCATTTTGGCTATCACGTACAACCCTGTCAAGTAGCCACCAGCCCAGACTGACCAACTGACCCCAGCTTCTCATTTTTCCACATTCAGTCAAACACTCTGGTATTAAGTTTGGGGGTGATTTGTTATACAGCAATATACAACTGATACATAAATACTGTGATGATGATTATAATAATGGCCTCAAAAGAATCATGCTACCCTGTATCTGTGGCCCCTCGCGATGGTGATACCGAAGTACCTCTCATCACGAGGCCTGTGACTTTTTTTTTTTTAACCAAAAGAATGTGATAGAAGAAACTGTGTGCAAATCCCAAAGCCTAGGCCACAAGAGACTTGCGGCTTTAGTTCTCACATTTTTGGGACCTAGAGGTCACCCATGCTGGAAAAGCCTAGTCTAAATTAACGGACAAGGAGTGGCCACATGGAGCAGAGCCAAGGCACCCCAACTAACAGCCAGACCATCAGCCGGAAATGTGAGTGAGGCCACCTAGAACCCTCTCCCAGCACATGACTGTGAAAATGAGAGTAATCCCCAGCGTGACTACCCAGATCACCAACCAGGAATCATGAGAAATAACCGTGGTTGTTTTAAGCCCCAGTTTGGGGGTGGCATTCTAAATAGCAAAAAAGTAATTATTAAAAAAAAAATACCCACTTGGCTCCTGGCTAGTTCATCTGGTCTGGCTCTCCCAGCCTCCCCACCCCAACGATGAGTCCAGGCACACAAGGTTGCCTGACAGTGTGGTCAGGCTTCTGACTCCATCAGACTGCTGGAAGTATAGAGCTGTGTACTCTTGAACAACAGAAATTAATTTCTCCCAGTTCTGAAGGCTGGCACTCCAAGACTAAGATGCCATCCGGTTCAGTTCCTAGTGAGAAGCGTCTTCCTGTTTATGTCCTCACAGGGCGGAAAGAGACAGGAAGCAAGCTCTCTCCTCCTTATAAATTCAAAATGCAAAATCATGAGGTAAACAAATGATTTATTTTTTAATTCACTAAGTTTGCAGATGGTTTGTTACACAGCAATGGAAAACTGTCATCTCAGCAACATTCCAGTCGCCATCATTATATTTAGTATGTCAATGGCCTGGTGAAAGTTCCTTGGTATAATTTTTGATATGTTGTAATACAGAAATTCTGAGTAGAAATAAAAGCCATTCTCTAAATTCCTGCCCAAATTTGCCCCTGGGGCAATTTTCTACTGAAAATTTTTTCTATTAAGCATTATAGCTATCTATGTATTGATTCTTTAAAAATAATATTCTTGCCCTACTGAATGCATTCAAACCTTGCATTTATTTCAGAAGTGTTATGAAAAGATCGATAATTATACTTTTTTATGTTCTTGCTATAAAATCTTAGAATTCTAATTTATGTTTACTGTGTTATTTTTATTGGCTTAAGAACTATAGTTCTTCATGTCAGATACACCGGTAACTTTGTAGGTAGCCACTAATGCACTGTAACTAAAGGAAGGGTCTCCTGGAAGGGCCCATTGCTACCTGAAGAGCTCCCCATTTTACTGTCTTTACCAGGTAATAAGGCATTTGAGAATAAAGTACAGATTTGTTTTATCAAGTACGTAATACTACTTATAAAGGTGCTAATCTCTTCAACTCATGATATTAAATGGATAGATGGATGGATGACAGGTAATAAGTAGGTAGCTAGATGATAGATAAATAGATGATGATAAATAATTAGATAGATGATAGATAGATAATTGATAGATAATAGGTAGATGGACAGATAGACCCTTTCTAGCAGCAAAATTAATCCAACTAAGATTTTTCTTTTTTTTATGCTTTCAGTTTAATAGCTGGTTTTTGTTTTAGGCTGCAGACTCAAAACTAGGTGCTCCTGGGCATCGTTTCTCACCTTTTTATCACGGCTTTTAGCCCAAGCTGAGTTGGTCCATGATAGCATGGATGTGGATGACATCTTCACGCTCGTCCTTTAGAGCATCAGTTGTATGTCGTGCTGGGTGTGCAGTTCCCTTAATTCCTTCGGTTCCCTCATGTATTTTTTTTTAGGATGAATTTCAGAGGAATGAATCTGTGCTTCCTTCGGTGGCTTTTCTCTTAATCCAAATAAGATTTTAAATTGTTCCAATTCTCTAGGTAAAATTTATCGCTGAGAATCGGTAATTGAATGCCATTTCTGCCTGAAAAGAACTGCTTTTCTCTCTTCCCTCCCATTTCCTTCTTCAATCAAGTATCCTCACTTATCTCTACCTACTAGCCTCCGATCAGCTTGGACAGGAAATTGTATATACGTGTAATTGTTGGGGGTGGCAATCTCCACGGGCTCTGAGTGTCCTTGCGTGTCCTTGCTAGTTATGCCAAGAATGCAAGGCCCTGACAGCTCTTTTCTCGAAGGCGTACTTGTAACAAACGACCTTGAGGAATAAGGCAATGTCTCCCGCCAGACAAAGAGAAGGCACACTTACCCCTCATTATAAAAGCAGTGGAGTCCTCAAGTTCAGTGTTCCTCGGTGTGACACAATCCACTACATGCACAGCACCCACCTGTACTGCCCTGTCACACCCCAGTGGGACCTGGAGGGAAGCGAGAACCAACACAATATTATGCTTGCTGTGCCATAAGTAATGAAGTCTTTTGTCTCTGATCCAAAATTGTCGTATCATCTGCCAGCATTTATGAAACAGTAACAGGTTAACTGGTAAGAAAATCTTAGATCCCTCAGTTTTGGTTTTTTTTTTTTCACAATAGTAAACTAAAATGTCGTCCAGAAATAAAGCAGTAATTAAAGTATGGGAGGTAGAGTATGTTAAAACTTTCCTTTAAAACATGAAAACATACCCTATCATTTACCTCTCAATCAAAAACATGTGCTTCTGATATGCTGAAGGGAATTTTCTAGATCCAGACCTCTGGATTTACAGGTGGTGGCAGAGTTCACTCCACCTCATTAGCTTCTCTTTCTCTCGTAGCCAAGGAATGCGGAAGGAAGGATCTGTGTGGCCAAAGCAGTGGGTCAAAGCCTATCGTGTCAAAGCTTCTGAAGCACAGTACACTTCCTGGAAAACAGTTTTAAAAAAAGTTACACCTACGCTTTCCATCTAGCATCAGATGCTGCAAGAGGGTCTTCCCTGGGTAAGATTTTAGCATAAAAGTCTAATAACAATAAAAATTGGGATAATATAATTATCATTTACTATTTCACAAAATAAAAGGCAGCATCGATTTTACTTAAATTTTCATTTAATAAGATTAGAGGCATTATAAACATAATATAGCTATTAAGCAACAGACTATTTATTGTGACTGCCCTATAATGTCAGTGATTTTGACCAATGTGAGATAAATTTTCCACAAAAATTCTATGAACTTGTTTCAGGATGAGAACAACTGTAAAAGTCAGGTGGCTGCTATATCTTACCTAAAAAAAAAAAAGTAAAGTATGACTACCTAGATTTACAAAACAAATAGAGGATGATTAATAAATGAGAAATAAATCTTTGACTTAAAAAAGTATTACTTTATATCAGTATTTCTCAGCTCGGGGCAATTTCTCTCAGCCCCTACTTACCCCACCTCATTCCCTGCCTCCCCCCGCCCTGCCGCCCCCTGCCCCCCGCCTGGCAGGGGGCCTTTGCAGTATCTAGGGACATTTTTGTCAGGGCTGGGGGGTGGGGTGGGGAGGAGTGCTACAGGCATCTAGTGGGTGGAGGCCAGGGCTGCTATAAACACCCTGCAACCAAGAGTTATCTGGCCCAAAATGGCAATAACGCCAAGACTGAGAAACCCTTATTTAAATGGAAACTCTTTCTGTGTGGATTTAAGTATTTGAAATTGGTACCAATCATGTTGAATTAGTACCAATCATGACTTAAGGAAAACTCGCCTACTTTTTAAATTTAATCTTTTTTTTTTTTTTTTAATTTTATTTAATGTCGATAATTTCACACCGATCCTTGATGGAAATTATCAGGCCTCTGACTTTTCTGTTCTTCATTCTTAGGTCCTGTGGTCACTTTAATGGACAAACATAAGCCAAATACAGTAACTAGAATGTCCCATCCAGAAGTCAAGCAGAACTCTGAATTTGATTTAATGTCAAATCTCTCTCCTACCCGCTTAAGCCTGATTCGGAATGGAAGCCTGGTGTGGGGGTGGGAGGTGAGGGCTGGGCTGGCATCTCTGTTTCTCTGTTCCCTCCTCCCTAAGTTTTAACCCTTCACGGCTGGCGCACTGGAAGAGAAGGGGGGCGAGAAAGTAGCAAAGGTCCTACTTGAACTATGACCATCATCGGCTAGTTTCTCACATGCTGAGCCTGGTAGAAATTTCAAGATGATGGCCTTATGGTATGATTCTGGGGGTGCCACCTTGCCTCTTCTACTTTCCCGAAGGCTCTCTGAGTGGCACTCCGATTCTCATGTATTTGGTCCCAACAGGTACCACATTGGTGCTCTGTGGAGAGCAGAGAGAGGAATGTTAGGCCAAAATGGAGGTATTTTTGCTAAACCAAACCAAAACTTAATAACTAACTTAATTACAGTTTCCACCTTTCCCAGGAATGGAATTTTAAACCAATCAATCTGGAATTTCCTGAAAACCCTCTGCCTGCCCTGAAGGAAGTTACCCCTGCCTAAAACAATCCACTCTTTTAACTTCTTAGTTTCACTTTCTTTCTGCGTAGAAAAACCTCCCATTTTTTGCAGCTCATCCAAGAGCCCTTCCAGTTGTTGGGTGGAACGCTGCCCAGTTCATGAGTCCATTCATAAAGCCAATTAGATCTTCAAATTTTGACGCAGCTGAATGTTATTCTTTAACACCAGTATTTGTGCAGGGACTTTCAAACCAGCTTTTCTAATTTCTTGCCTCCATCCTATCTGGTGTTTAGCTCTTTTGCACACTGGACTTGCAAGTGAACTAGGAAAGAATTTCATAGATTTTAAGATTGAAAATCTTTGCATGGGGGGGAGGGATTATACTATGTATTCTTTTGTCTAACAAAATATTTCATTACATAGTGACCTCTACTGGGAAGAATAAAGATATCACCAGGGCTAACAAAAATAAGCCAATTTAGTCTGTTTAGTCAAGGAACTGGTAAATTTGGAAAGGCAAATCTGTTATTTAGAATTGTTACGGCCCAACTTTACTCTGAATATTTTTATTTTTAAAAAGATTTTATGAACTATTTCAAATTTACGAAGTATGGAGAATAGAATAAACACATATCTGCCACCCAACTTTAACGAATCTGAACATTTTGCCATATTTACCTCTTTTTTTTTTAGTAAGGAACAGCGACAAGGAAAGTGATCTCTGGCTGCTGTCTGCTCTCCTGGGGAGGCTTCTAGGGGGAAAAGGAAATAGTATAGAGTCAGAGCTCCTGGTTTCAGGTAGTCGTAAGAATTTAAGGAACTTGAGGGTTTTGTAGTGTTCCTTAGAAAGCAGTCCAAGGCAAAAACAGTCTTGGGCATGGCAACGGCATGGGGACTGTCATCTAGGCTTTATAGGAATCTGTATTAGCTCGGGCTGCCATACGAAATACCACAGACTGGGCGGCTTAAACCACAGAAATTAATTTTCTACCAGTTCTGGAGGGTGGGAAGTCCTAGATCAAGGTACTGGCTGATTTGGCTCCTGGTAAAGTCTCTCTTCCTGGCTTGCAGAGGGTTATCTTTCACTGTGTCCTCACATGGCTTTGGAAGAAGGGAGGTGATAGAGAGTAAGTTCTCTAATGTCTCTCATAAGGACCCTACTCCTATCATATCAGGGCCCCACCCTTATGATCTCATTATCTTTAATTACCTCCTTATAGGCCCTGTCTGCTAAGACTGGGGCTTCAACATATGAATTGGGGTGGGACAATTCAGCCCGTAGTGAAATCTTTCCACAGTATCTCTAGCCACTACATCAGTGATTCTAATGGTAAGAAATCATTACCTGGCAGTACTTCATTGTGAGAAAGCTCTAATGGTTAGAAAGCATAGATGATCAGTCAATTTTGCCCCCCCAAAACTTCAGTCTTTGCTTTCATGTTTGTCCTCTTAGGATCATCACCAATAATCAAACAAACAAATAATAAAGAAAGAAATTCATTAATTAAATCTCTCCCCTCATAGCAGCCTTTTACCTAAAGATAAGCATAGCAATTACGGATCTCGGTAAACAAACTCAAATTGCAAGAAATATAATCTAATTTTACCCGAGTGATGACTTCAAAAATCATCAAACTCAAGATTCTCCCTAATTCCCTGCACCCCGCACCCCCCGCCCCGCCTTTCTTCACCTCATACTACTGGGATCCATTTCCTTTAAAGCCATCATGAAGGGAGAGAATGATACCTTATAGACCTTTCTGCCAAAAATCATTTTCCCATTACAGAATGTTTACTAATTACATATAAGTTTTACTAAAATGCCATGTGTTTGATTTACAATTAAAATGTACCATTAAATTAAAATATATATGGCTAAAGTGTTATTGGAACTTCATGTATTCTGAGTTTTATGGCATCTGTTTTACATTAATCACAGTTGAGATTTCCGATCATAGCAATGTTAAAGTATTAATTCAGAAGAATTACTATCCATCCTGACAAGCAGGTTTAAAAAAATGATTTTTTTTTTTTTTTCTTTTATGAGAGATCTCTTCTGTGCTGGCTGGAAAATTACTGCTTGGCTATCGCCCATGGGAACATAGGCTATCACCCATGGGAACATAACATTCTAACAATAAGCTTTCTGCTTCTGTACCCCCACTTGCACACCTGACCTGTGGGTTGACAGGTAGTGAATAGGAGAAAAATAGACCTTTGTGTTTAAGACAGAATGACTTTTATGAGAGATCTCCTCTGTGCTGGCTGGAAAATTACTGCTTGGCTATCGCCCATGGGAACATAGGCTATCACCCATGGGAACATAACATTCTAACAATAAGCTTTCTGCTTCTGTACCCCCACTTGCACACCTGACCTGTGGGTTGACAGGTAGTGAATAGGAGAAAAATAGACCTTTGTGTTTAAGACAGAATGAGGAATGGGATTTAGGGCTTAAAAACCCTGTACCTCTACATTTGGGTTCTGCGTACCCCTGGCAGACCCAGCTGGCTGAATAGAGAGAGTGTTTCCTATGACTCACTGATTTCTGGTGGTCCGTGTGTCTTTCAGGGGCTGGCGGCTACAACACTCTTCCAGGCTTTTTTTCTGGCCCAAAACCCAATAAGACTCTGCATTATTGACTTTCTGCTGGGATAGGATTTTAACATAACTTTTGACCCACCCTATTAGGCCAGTACGTCTTAATTTTTCTTCAAGGAAATACTAGTAAGAGGACAGAGTATGTAGTATGTAGCTGGAAGTAGTCCTAAACTAAAATTTTGATGATTATGATTATATCCTAATCAAAAATACACATTTTTCATTCTACCTCATTTTATATTATTGCTTTAAACATAAAAAAATGTTTCACTTCCCTAAATCTTTCAGTAAGTTGAAGCCACAGAAAAATACGCTACATTTACTTGGTGGCTCTGAATGAATTGGTTGGTACACCTAAGAAAAACCCTTAACTCCTTGCTGGAAAGAAGAGGAACTGGCTTGGAGGAAAGGAGGAAGAATCTTCCATTTGAGAGCCTTGCATGACAAAAAAAAAAAAAGGTTTGAATATGGAAATTTGCGGTTTGTTCACTCAGTCCATAATATACCTTGACCTTTATGCCCTTAGGCCCTGCATTGTTTGTAAACAAGACTAACTTCCCATAGGCCCATTAGAGCCTAAAGGAGCAATCTCTTCTGAATCATCACCCTTTTTCCAGGTAGCACATGTCCTGCTTTTTCGGTTAATATTGAGCATTTACTGGCTTCCTTCTAAACTCTTCGTATTTATCAAGCCCTTTAATCCTCCCCAAAAGCCTACAATGAGGGTGTTATTATTATGCCCAATATACAGAAGAGAAAATTGAGGCATGATTTATGCAAGGTCACACAACTTGTGAGCAAGTGGTAGGGCCCATTCCAACCTAGGTGTTCTTAACAGCTATAAAGACTCAGGATTTAAACTGCAGCCGTAAGGCAATAATAAATGCGTAAAATTAGAACATATAAAGGCTTTGATAATATTTGATGTGTCATAAACAAGTTTTTAAGGTAAACTTTTTATTCAGTTATGATATGTTATTGAAAAATGCATAAGTCATGTTCAGTGAATTTTCATAAAGTGAATACACTGATATAGCTATCACCCACATAGAGAAACAGAATATAACCAGATTTCCCACAACCGATTCCTTCTTGTGCTGTATGGTTAAGTTTCAAAGTTCAAAATGAGCACTCAGGGATTGTTGTACAAGCTGTATTCTATAGTCTATTTCAGACTCTGATTGATATTAATTCCCAAAGTAATATACTCTTGCTAGCGCAGTTATTCTCAAAATGTGGTCCCCAGACTAGCAGCCTCAGCATCACCCGGGAACTCGACTTGCAAATTAAAGGACCGCAATTCAGATCTACAAAACTGAAACTTGGGTGGAGCCAGCAATTTAACAAGCCCCGGGGCTGATTCCGATGCACAGTAAGGTTGGAGAAGCACGGATTAAGACCGTTGTAACAGCTTTGATTCGTGATCGCGTAGTAACCGTGTTAGGTGGCTAATAGGGTCAAAAGTGTTTCGCTTGAATATTAGTGACAAGTTCTAACCATCTATCTCTTATCGAAGTACATTGCGGATAAAATACTTTCCATTTTAAGTAACGCTGTAGTTCTAGTCGATGTTTTGGTTTAGCACGAGGATAAAGCACTGCCCTCACGTTGGTCCTTCCCTCCCAGCCCAAGCTGGAGTTAACTCAGTTTACTAACAAAGCCCAGCCCTAGAGTGTCGAAGGAGTCAACGTCCAGGTCCCGGCCAATCAAAAGCCAGATTCCAGCCTCTTGTTCATCCTGGCGGCGTGATTGGCGGGACCCGGCGGAAAAGCCCTGTCGCTGCACCGCCCCCGCCCTCAGCGCGAGCCAATCGTCGCTCGGCGCTCGTAGAGGCGAAACTCGCGCCGGCGATTGAACATGGCGGAGGACGCGGCTGTGGCGGCCCCGAGCCCGCGGGGTCGTGCGGACGGACAGGACGCGGGCCCCTCGGAAAAGCGGCTGCCGGAAGCGGAGAGAGAGGATCAGGAGCAGTTCGAGTGCCAGGAACTGCTCGAGTGCCAGGTGGAGACGGGGGTGCCTGAGGGAGAAGAGGACGCGGGCCTGGTGGCGGAGGCTGAGGCGGTAGCTGCCGGCTGGATGCTCGATTTCCTCTGCCTGTCTCTTTGCCGCGCCTTCCGCGACAGCCGTTTCGAGGACTTCCACCGGACCCGTGACAGCGCCGAGGGTGAGTGCTGGGCGCGCCCGGGCGGGGGCCTGCGCTGCGGAACGCGAGCTCGGCGGGAATAAGTGAGAATAAGCCCCCTTTAGAGTTGATGCAGGACTAGAGTTAAAATGACAAAATGCCACCTAACCCAGTGTGCAATTCTTTTTGTCTCCTTTGGCGCTTGTATTTGTCTTTCGACTCGGGTATTCCTGTGATGACATTTAGTCAGCAGTTTCTGTGGTCTCCACAGTGACCTTGGCCTCCGTGTTTTCTGTTAATTTGTGAGCTACTGAAACCTCATTTGGCCTACTCGCTCAGTACTGTAGGCTTCAAAATTAAACTGTCAATGAAACCTACTGCTTAGACAAGACAGCCTGTAAATGATGGACAGAGACATAGGTCGATAGAGAAGACTAGCCTGGCTTTTTGAATAACAGAAAGATGCCCTGGTATTTATTTCAGAATTGGCACTCAACTTATTGCCGCTGAATGCAACCCCAAGGTAGTGTGTAATAGAAAATTAAATACTTAAAATCATATTGACACATTTTACCTTCACAGCAAATAAGTTAGGCAAATAATTTTAGTTTATAGGGAAGTGAGCTAGTTAAGCAACCTAAAGTATTGATAGCTTTGAACTCCTTTTAAGGAGTGTTCCAGACCCATAACTTATCTTCCAATTCAAGAACCTTTCCTCCAACTACCACAGATAACACTAGAGCCATGGCTAATTAACATGAATTAGAAAGTTAAATGAGAGGATAATGAAATGGGAGAAGAGCCAAATCTCCCATGCGGAAGACTTTCAAGTAATTTCTGTAACTACTCTGTCCTCAGGAGGTGGAGCAGAACTCCCCTTTCCTTAAGTGTGGGTTGCACATAGGGACTTTATTCTGAAGAGTACAATACGGAAAGGGGGGAAGAAAGAGTAAATTTATAGTAGAGAAGCCTGACAGATTCCATAACTCCAGCCTCATCATGAGAAAAAAGCATCACGCAAATCCCAGAAGAGGTGCATTCTACAAAATACCTCTAAACTGTCAAGGTCATCAAAACCAAGGAGTCTGATGACTGAATGTAATGTGGTACCCTAGTGGATGGGCTCCTGCTGCAGAAAAGGAACAATGTAAAAACTAAGGAAATCCGAATGAAACATGGGCTTTAGTTCATGTATCAATATGGGTTCATTTAACATATACTGTATGAATATAAAATGTTAATAGAAGATGCTGGGTGGAGGGTATATGGGACTTCTGTCTTCACAATTCTGTAAATTTAAAACTGTTCTAAAAAGTAAAGTTTATGGAAAAAGTAAAAAACCCTTTCAAGGTTCTAGCTCAATACCCAAGAAATAGTTTAGGCCACCTCCATTATTTTGTGGTTAAAGACGCAGAAACCCATACAGTAAACTGTTATTCCAGTTGCACAGCTAATCAGTGGAAGATATGCAAATTGTGAACATAATTTTGTCTCTATATTCCCATTTTTGACTGAAAGGACTCCTTTTCGTCTTTTTTGTAGAATTTCATTTACTACACTTTCCGTAATGTAAAAATATACAACTCAATGCTTTCTAGAAAATTCTTAGCTCTTTCATTCTAACTCAGAATTATTCTCACACCTCACTTATCTCATAAAGCCTTTTCCAGACTGTTATTCCTAACGTGTCTCCTATCTTGGGAAGCAGTGAGGGGTGATGGTTAAGAGCATGGAGTCCGGAATGAGTTGCATGAATTAGATTCCTGGCTCTACCACTATACAGCTGTAAGATCTGAAGCAAGTTACCCTCTTGGTACCTCAGTTTCCTCCAGTGTAAAATAGAGATAATCATAGCGTTTACCTCATTGGGCTGTTGAGAGAAGCAAATGAACTGATATGAATAAAGCAGGGATTCGCGACCTAAGCACTGCTAACATTTCGTTCTGTATGGCTGAGGGTGGAGGAGAGTGGGGATGAGGGGGAGGTTTCTTCTGTGCGTTACAGGATGTTGAGCAGCATCTCTGACCGTGTACCTCCCCCTTCTACTCATGACAATGTCTCCAGACACTGCTAAGTGTCCTCTAAGAGACAAAAGCACCCCCAGTTAAAAGCCACTGGTATAAAGTGCTTAGAGTAGCACCTGGTATTATAATAAGTGCCTAAATACAGCCCCTGTCGTTGCTAGTCATTAGATCCTTGTGTGTTTTACTGTGAGCAGTGTTTGGTTTCTGGTATGGAGAAAGAAGATAGTCACACGTTCATCTGGAGTAGGTCTTCCTTGTTTGTTTTATATATTGCCTAGCATTAGGAAGAATAGGGCGGCAGTGGTATCTAGGATATCCAGTTATTATGTAGTTGACGGAGTTGAATGTGGAGAGAAGTAAATATAGAAGGGTCTGACTTTCTTCCCTAAATCGATTAGGTATTTCTTTCACTTTGCCCTATACCATACTTACTCATTGTGGCACTTAAATAAAATTTTAATTAGTCACTTGCATAACTTTTTAATTTGTGCTCTCTTAGACTAAAACCATCATCCAGGGCAGGGACTGGCTATCTCTTCATTCAGTCGTCCGTCCCTAACATTGGCTAGCAGTCGATGTTCAGTAAATAGTGAATGAATTATGTTTAAATTCTATTTAAATTTTGTGCTGTCCTTGAATCCTGTTCAATTATATTATGGATATATATGGCTAAGATAATTGCAAGTATAGTATAAGACAATGGCATTTTAGAATTGAGGAAATAAATACAAATAAGCATATTTATTTGTCTTATCTGCTTAGTGGCTGCAGGACTGCTTTTCGGTTTGCTAGTTAATTTAACCTTTTTATAGGTTAAATTAAAAGCTCTGGGTGAAGTATAATGCTAACAGTGGCAACTTTGGGTCTTTAAACATTTCCTTAGAGAAGCCCTCCCTGATTCCGCCTCCCTCCAGCTTCACACTGCAATCTCTCTTTGTTTCCATAGCATTCTATACTTGTCTTTTTTGGTTTTCTCTACCTTTTTCCTTTAGATATTCAGTCACGCGTCTTTTATTGCTACATGGCAGTAAACTTGCTGAGGTCCAGAATTACGGTTTACTCACCACTGTACATACCCACTGCCTAGTGTAACATCTAGGTGGGCATTCAGATATCTGAGAGATTAATATTAATAAACATGTATTTAAAATGAAGCTTTATAAACTGAACAGCCTTTCAACTGAAACCTTGACAGAAATAATATAAAATATTGCCTATAATGTTAGTTTTAAGGCATAAAATAAGGTTCCAGATTAGGATTTGACACATTTTACAGTTTGCTGTATCTCTCGCTTTTCACTAGAGTGCTACCTGTGAAAATAGTTCTAAATATTCTACATGCGAAATATCAGTTTCATTTTGCAAGTGTTTATTGCTGTTTTTTTATTCAGATTTTTTTAAAGTTGTCTAAAAGCATACAGCTCTAAATTTATGATAATTTTTGCATGATATTTACACCTATTTTCTCAACAAACCACATGGGGGCTGCTGGGTCAAGGTTTTAATAAAATTCACTTTTTTCTTTTTCAGCTATTATTCATGGACTCTCCAGTCTTACAGCTTATCAGTTGAAAACTATATACATATGTCAGTTTTTGACAAGAATTGCAGCGGGAAAAAGCCTTGGTAAATGAGTTTTTATCTTATATTGTAAATATATCAATCTATGTCTAAAGGTAAGACAATGAGAAGAAACAGATGGGAGCTGTCATTTGTTTTTGAGAGTTGCCCACATGTGTTTGTTGTATACATCTACACACAAGCATATCTAAAGGAAGTAGAAGAAATCATAGCCCATATCTTAGAGCATTGGTTCTCAGACTTTAGTCTATTTCAGAAATGTGAAAGGACTTGTTAAAAAAAGCAGAATGCTGAGGCCCCTTCCCCTCCATGAGTTTCTGATTCAATAGGATGGTCAAGGGGCCCTGGGGTGATGTCTAACAGTTTCCCAGCTTATTCTGATGCTGCTGTACTAGGCTTCGTGGGCTTTATCTTAGAGACTTTATGTTAAACCTGCATGGGAACTTTGTGGTAACTCTTACTATCATACCTACTCCATTTTTTACTGATATTTGAAGCCTCTTATTTGAACTTGATTTCAGCACTTATTTATATAAGGGATATGACCTATAGCTGTAACTGCTCGCTCCCTTGTCCCCATAGTTCATTTAAGATTGTTACGGGCAATCTTAAATGAACTTAAATGATTCAGTTTATCAATAATGGCTGATCTTACAACATGATGATTTAAAAGACCTTTTGATTCGAATAACTACATAGTTATTTGTTTTTACAATTTACAAAATGCTTTGCCAATAGTCCTGAGTGGTAGGCAGTACTTCCGTGAAACTGCTCACTTATACACATGTTGTGTTCCACAGAATCCCAGTGTGTTAGCACATCTCGCAGTCTAGCTCTGGCTCCTGTAGCACGCTTTGTGTTGGGAGTGAGGGTAGGTCTGGAGTCGGTGCCAGGCCCCCAGGTGGATAGGACGTGAAGCAGAGTAGATGTAGGGGAGGTAGAATTGGAGGTTGGTCTGGTACTGCTGCTGAAGAAGACGAGCTGACGGGGACACAGCGGGTGAGTTCCTGACCACGCAGACCACAGGTTAGCATGGTTGTTAGCAGAGTAGTTCTGTAATTAAATGTGACAGAATATTCTCAAGTGCCCAAAAACCCTTCCTCCAAAAAAAAAGGGGAAGTGGAAAAATATTCAGATTTTTGTGTATGGTTTAATCTTGAAATACATCAGAATCCCATTTTGTCTTAGACATACTAGGCCAGGGTCAATTACCAAGAATCAATATATTTCGCCATAATGGACTTAGACGAGACAGCATTTAAAACTTCAGTTTTCATATTAGGTTTTCAGTTAAACATACACTTTTGTATTTTTTTTAGTAGTCGCTGTATAGCAGCACTTCCTGACAGAAATATAATATGTAATCAGAAATTTTGTAATAGCTACATTAAAGTCAAAAGAAATAGGTGGAATTAATTTTAGCAATACCTCATTTAACCCAATATCTCTAAAATATATGCCAACATCAATATAAAACATGTTAAGGAGGTATTTTACTCATTCTTTTTCAGTAAATCTTTGTGTTTTTTGTTTTGTTTTGTTAACGCTTACAGCACCTGGTCTTCCTAGGTGATCTCCCATCCAAGTACTAACCAGGCCTGACTGTGCTTAGCTTCCGAGATCAGACAAGATTGGGCACGTTCAGGGTGGCATGGCCATAGACTTTTTTTAGTAAATCTTTGAAATCTGGTATGTATTTTATACTTAAAACACATCTCAGATTGGAATAGCCATATTTTAACTGCTCAACAATTCCATATGGCCGGGGGCTACAGTAATAGCTTTAGTCTCCTACACCACAGAGAGCTTTAAGATCTGGCAGATGTCTCCAAGGGGAGATGTTTGTTTATGGCAGGCTCTTCTTTTCATAGGACTTTATCTCTTAGGATCTGTGAGACTCTGAGAGATTTCCCTCCTTTTCCACCCTGGCTTCTTGCATTGCCCCAGAACCCAGCAAATATCCCGTGAGGAGAAACCTGTGTTTTCAGTTCTTCAGGTTTCCAGTCCAACAAGCTTGCCCCAAGGAAACCACCAGAAAAGAAGCTTTTCTTGTTTCTCTACCCGCAGTAAAATCTCCCTGCCTGGAGTAAACTGGATGCCCAGCCTTGAAAATAAATGAGCTCAGGGAAGAAAACAGCTACAGATCTTCAGCTCACCTCAGAATTCTCTCTCTGGAATTGTAGTGCATCTGGTTCTCATTGCTTCCACAGCTATCTCATGTCTATAGCAGCATGTTTTTGCAGTTTATTCGATTTTCTTCCAGCTGTACTCAGCATTGGCCTGCTGCGGTAGCCTACATCCTACCTGAAAATGAAGCTCTGCATCGTAAATATTTTGAAGATCTAGCATATACATTTTTTCTGTACCTCACAGTTAGAAGAAGGAAGATGGATTAGAAAGAAGGCTTAGATAATGTCTGTCAAGAAGGACTTATTAGGAAAGACAAATATTAAAATGAGGTTTTAGAAGAAAGAAAAATATGAAATGAAGGAGCATCGGGGAATCTGCCTTTGCGTTTCCATTTCACTGCTTCTTGGCAGGTACTCCAGCCACGCCAGCCATCTTGTCATTCCCGAAATGCACCTTTTTCGAGACACTAAGTTCTTAAGGGTGCCGGTGTCTGCTTTTACCACTTGCTAACTGTGTGACCTCTAGATCTCAAATCCTCCTTTATAAAATAAGGTTGGTAATATTGTGTACTCTTTTAAAGAAATTGGGTAAAAGAGCTACTGTGTGTTAAGCACTTAGCACAGTGCCCGACACATAATAGGGCCTCAGTAACTGTTAACTATGAGTGCGAATGTCTTGTATACCTCGCCTTCTGCTCCATCTTCTTGAAATGTTCTCCTCACCCTTGTCCTCTTCACTTGGTAATTCTTAATGTCCCAGTTCGAATAGCTTCTCTTTCTTTTTCTTTCTTTCTTTTTTTTGGATAACTTCTCTTTCATGAAGGACTGTATTTTAGTATCCCTTCTCCGAGCTAACACTCTGTTACTCTGATACACTGGACTCTCCTGGAGAGTTCTTAGAAAATAGAAATGTGTGGCCTCTATCCTGTGCTAATTGAATTAATCTTGGGTGGGGGGTACACCTAGGCATCTGGCATAATACATAATTTTAGTAAAGTACCAGTCACACTGTTTTGTCTAAATGTCTCTCATAGTTCACATATAAGTCCCATAAGGGCAGACACTTTTTCTTTGTTTGTATCTTAAGTATCTGGTACAGAGCCTGGAATATAAAGAGACGTGGTATATGAATGGATATATTTTTATATCTAAAATATTGGAGAAAGAATTAGGAAAGAGCAACAAGAAATGAAGTAGAAATCATTGAAACCGCTAATATTAAATTGCATGTTCCCTGTAATTTTTCAGAGGGAAAAAGGAAGTTCTCTTAAGTATGTTTGCTACATAGTTGCTATGGAACTAATAGTGTATGTGGAGATTGGGAGGAATATAGTAAATAGCTCCTGTTTCAAACTTTGAAATATAATCATTATGCATTATAGAGTATGTAAGAGATTTGCTGCCTTCATGACACTGCAAAGCTAATGAGATTATTAAGTAAGTGTAAGTATAAAACACTACAAGGTATAACAGATAGGAATAATGATACAAGAGATTTAGAGAAAAGAAATTTCCTAGTCACTTAGCTAGAGTAAGGAAGGAATTCAAGAAGGAGGTAGAGTTTGCTCTAAACCTAAAAGGATTGATGGGTTTCATTGGAATGTGAAAATGGCATTCTAGGCAAAACAAAAACAGTTATTTGGAGAATCAAACTATAGTTTACCTGGAAAGTAGAATTCCTGATTTCCATGTTTAACTCCCACAACTTGCTCCTCACCCAGGCTTCCTATGTCAGTAAGTGGCAGTCCCTTCCTCCAGCTGTTAAAATCTGAGACTCCTTTGTTTTTCCTGACACTTCACATCCAGTCCACCAGCCAGTTGTCCATTCAGAGTTCCCAGACACTCCGTCCCTTCTCCGTTATCACAGATGGCATGCATCCCGCTTGCCCACTGCTCTTGGCAGACTGACCTCCCTTCTGTCTTTTGAACACCAGGCTCCTATCAGGACACTGCACTTGATGGTCCCTGTGGAGCACTCTTCCTGTAGATATTTGTGTGACTGCTGCTTCTGCTTCACATTGTGCTGATCTTGCCTCTCCTTCCCCCTCACTTCTGGAGAGAGGCCTCTCCCACCTGCCCTACCTGAAAGAGCCCCTCCCCCATCTTTCTGGGTTCCTAGTACCCTTTTCTCTACTAGCCTTTATTACTCTGAAGTTAAATTATCTGTTAACTTGTTAATTTATCTATCTGTCGTTAGCATTGTGAGCATCCTAAGAATAGGGGCTTAGTCTTATTCACTGAGATAGTTCAGTTTTTAGGCAAGTGCCTGCTCATAGTGAGTGCTCAGTATTTATTGAATGAATGAATTATAGATATAGATGTAGGACATACATAGTGAAGGTTCTGAATGTCAGACCGAGGTGTTTGTAATTTGCTAAGTAGTTATCAGCTACTGTGAGTCTTTGATCTGTTTTAAGAAAGTTTAACAGTCGTGCAAATATCTCGTTAAATATTCACATAACTCCTATGAGATAGTATTTACTTTCACTATTTTGTAGGTGAAGAAATTGAGGTTTAGAAGGGTGAAAAAACTTTCAACACCACACAAGCAATACATGAGGGGTCTAGAATAAACTCCAAAGTCAAGTGTTTTAAACCACTCTACAGTCTTTTGCAACAGATTGGATATGGTGATGACAAAGAGGAAGGAGTGAGACAGTGGCTTCTCAGACTTTAAGCCTTGGTGATTAGAAGAATGTTGGTAGAGAAATAACTTCTTGAAGGAGCCTTTTTCAAATATTCACAAGGATTTAAAGTAGTATAGGCTAAAATCGAATTCAAAATAAACTCATTTCATGTTCTAGAGGCTTGTTATAATGCAGTTAGACTTGGGACCGTTTAAGAGCTTTTACTGTGACACTTTATGTACAATATATAGCTTGCTTTAGCTCTTGAAATCAATATTTTAGTAAAGAAAAGCTTTAGATGTTTCGTAAACTCATCTAGCTTTTTTCATTGTTAAAGTTCATTTTAATAAGGAAATTAACTTGAAAAATTAAATCACTTCCCTAAACTGGTATATACAAAAACAGTGCCTGGCAGGTAAAATACACTCAGTAAATACTTAAAGAAATGGATCTTTAAAAATTGACAAACTAAGGTTCTATTTAGCTTTCTAAGTTACTTGTTTTTGTGCTGGTTTTAAAAGATGCACAATTTGAAACTGATGAACGAATTACACCGTTGGAATCAGCCCTGATGATTTGGGCTTCAATTGAAAAAGAACATGACAAACTTCATGAAGAAATAGAGAATTTAATTAAAATTCAGGTATGAGTATTAATTTTGTATTTAAAATTATTATTTTGCTAGAAAATAAAGGTATGACATCTGAAGAAATTAAGAGCCACTTGATAGAAGTTGCGTGGTAAACCCAGAGTAAAAGTTAATGTACTCATCCTCTAGAAATTTGACCTTCGCTTTAATGTTTGTTGCCTAAGCTTCGATTTTCCTCACTTCCGAAAATGTGCTGCATCTATTTAAAGATCACCAAGCAACTTTCAAAACCTGTGATTTGTGCTCTCTCATTTTTTATTTAAAGATTATAAATATGAAAAAAGTAGAATATTGGATTAAAAACTAAATGGATTTTTGTGATCAATGTAGTTTTGAAAATGTAAAGTTTTAACTACATAGAATTTTAGTAGTAGCCTATTAAAGAGTGAGAAGCCAAAAAAGCCGTTCAAAGATATAATAAGGAAAGTATGTTTTGCTAACAGACAAAGCAAATATAAGGGATCCCAAAAAATAGGAATTTTGTTAGATAAATAAACTTTTCCTTATTTAAAAAAGAATTTTTTATTGTTGGGTAGAAAACCCATATAGTGGCCCACTTTCCTAAGAATCATTGACAGTGTAGTGACTGTCGAGTAGAATTAAGACCTGAAAAGAATGGGCAGAAAAATGACTGCTTTTAAGAATTTCAACCCAGGGCCGAGATTTGTTATGTTACCCCAATTTGGGAGGGCTCTAGAGGAAGCAGGCCTTTGTTAATTTACTAGTATAAAGTTGCGTTACCATGAAATACATAGTGAACGTGTAATGTATTTTTTACTATTCGCCAGATACTGTTCTCAGCACTTTCATATATAACTGTAATCCTCAGAACAACCCTACGAAGTAGGTACTATTATTTTCAACCTTTTACATGTAAGGCAACTGAGGCACCAAAAACTTAAATAATTTGCCCAAGTTTACAAAGCTACTTAGATGGTAATGGTCCCATATTTACCACATTCGTTATCAAAAAGGCCAGTTTATAAAATGATTATTCAAAAGCATCTGCCTTCCTGGGTTTGTTTCTATTAGAAATTTTACAGGGACCCTAACTAGCAAATTTTATATATCCTAAGTATCACAAATACCATCTGACTCCTCTCATTTTCTATTTATTCAAAATACGTAGCTGGGTCCTAAGTATACATAATGTAGCTCCTAACTTATTTATTATTACTTGCCTTTAATTTAGCCTAAATTAGAAAGAGAGAGAATGCTGGGTGTTTATTAGTAAATATGCAACAGGCCAATGAAAATTTTTTCTGTCTTTTTAAACCACAGTTATTTTACCTTTGAACATTTTTTTTATATAACAACAGTTAGATATTTTGAAAAGCGATCTAAGGTGTGTATTTGTCATCCTATCTTTTAGGCTATAGCTGTTTGTATTGAAAGTGGCGATTTTAAGGAAGCAGAAGAAGTCTTTGAAAGAATATTTGGTGATTCAGATTCTAACACGGTAATTGTTTAAATTAGAATCAGAATTTTAGAACTGTTTATATAGAATGAGGAACGTTCAAAGAACATCAGAGGGATAAGGAATGATTTATCTTTAAACAGCAAAGGATAGTGCTGTCCAACAGAATATAATGCAAGTCACATATGTGATTTTAAGTTTCCTAGTAGTCACATTAAAAAAGTAAAAAGAAACAAGTGAAACTAATTTTCATAACATTTTATTTAACCCAATATATTAAAAAAATAATTTTAACATTTAATATAACAAAGTATTAATGAGATAATTTCACTCTCTTTTTTGTCTTTATCTTTGAAACCTGCTATTTTATACTTTTGTCTAAATTCAGGGCTCGCATGCTTTAGGGGCTCAGTAGCCACATGTGGCTAGTGGCTACTATATTGGGCAGTGCAGGAATGGAAGGAGTCATTATAACTTGCTTATTTTTCTAGAGGTTTCTTATGGATCATTAGTAGTTTTGTGTATATTTTTAATGTTAAGGTCGATAGCACTTAGTTTTTAAATAATAACAACAAAGTGCTATTGGAGTAAATTAAACTTATTAGGGCTCAGTAGCCACTTGTGGCTAGTGGCTACTATATTGGGCAGTGCAGGAATGGAAGGAGGCATTATAACTTGCTTATTTTTCTAGAGGTTTCTTATGGATCATTAGTAGTTTTGTGTATATTTTTAATGTTAAGGTCGATAGCACTTAGTTTTTAAATAATAACAACAAAGTGCTATTGGAGTAAATTAAACTTATTCAAAGCAAAGATAGTTTCAGTGAACTTTTTATTGAACAATAGCACACCTCTAGCAGAGTACACGTATCATAAATGTATATGTAGTTGTGCTACTGCTGTTTCTGGGGTGTAACCCTCCAGCTTGCAGCAGGAAGCCTGATACACTTATTGGGTTCCCTGCTCCTACTTTTTGCCTCCACACTGTGAGGCTACCGAAAACCCTACTCTGCTTAGACCTCACAGAAGGGGAAAACCTTACAGCCATTAGCATGAGAGAAAGTGCTGAATCTCACTGGTGTTAGTAATCAGTACTGGGCAATACCAAGTAACATTTGAAATAGCATTTCCTACACTCCGACAGTCAATGAGTAAAAGGCTTAGAATACCAACACTTGGCTCAAAAAGTGGAGAAATGGTAAGGCTGCCATGCCTTCCTCTCTGGAATGTAAAGTGGTACTTAAACTTTGGAGAATATTTCAGCAAAATCTATATAAGCATGCATTCCAGCATCTCCACTTCTAGATAAGCACCCTAAAGTGGCTGTTCTCACTTTCAGTGCAAATTTTAAAAGCCATTAAGCTTTATTTTGGAGGAACAGGAGGAACAGGCCCTACTGAGATGGTCTGGCATAGAGCCTGAGAAGTTGAATTTTTTAAAGTTCTGTAGCTTTTATTGTGCAACCAGCTTTGAAAGAGCTGCTGTTCAAGAGAAACTTGTACTGCGCACAAGAAGACATGGAAAAACATTGAACAGATTGTGGTAATAGAAAATAGCCTAAATTCTATCAACAGGCTACAAGAATGGATGAAGAAATGATTTTTTGATCAGTGGAATACTACATAACAGAAAAAGTAATCAGTTCTACAAATATCAAATCAGTATGGATAAATCTCATATACATTGAGTTGGGCAAAATATTACAAGTTTCAGACGAATATATATAATATAACATTTATATGAAATAAAAACTATGCTAAACAGTATTTACTACATATTGTTTACAGTTGTATACATACGTGGTGAAAGTATAAAGAATGCACATGTATGATACATTCTGAATTCAGGGGAATAGTTACGCTGAGGAGAGGGAAAGCTGCGGGGTTACCAGTCAGGTTAAGGAAGCATACAAGGGCTGTCACTGGACAGATGTCTTTATTTCTTAAACTTTGTAATAGATATTCAGGTTCGTAATATATTTTTTTTAAAGTCAGAAAGATATATTAGTGGGCCATTTAAAACATGAAAAAATTTTAAATCTCTTAATTTTGCTTCTTTAACATTTATAAAGTGATCTTTTCAATTAAATATGACAATTTCTAGTATCTTATTTGCGATTTATGTGTTAATGTTTCTTCTGTTTTCTTTAGCCTTTACGAAGGAAATTGCTTATGGTAATCTCTCAGAAAGATGCATTCCATTCCTTCTTTCAACACTTCAGCTATAACCACATGATGGAGAAAATTAAAAGTTTTGTGAATTGTGTGCTCAAAGAAAAATCATCAGCTTTTCTAATGAAGGTATGACTATTTCAGAGAGACATGGTAGACTTGATTGAAATTGTTATAATAAAGGAGAATACTTGAAATAGAAATTCTATAAAAACAAATCAGAATTTTATGTAGTAATTTTTATAGAAGAATGTGGCAAACGTTACATTAAGTAAATCTAAAGGGTTTATTGGTGACCTTTGTAGTATTTTTATAACTTTTCAAAATAAGAGTTAGGTGATTTTTTCAAAATAAAAAAGTCGAAGCAGAAAACTTAGAATGAAGAAGTAAGTGAAAAATATTTAGTTTAAATTTTAAAGAAAATTTTAGCATATTTTTGGAAAAAAGTAAAATTAAGGTAAAGAAGGGCCTTTAAATTTTTTTTAAGGCATTTTATCCTCTGTCTTGGCCTCAAAAGTTTTTAACTTAATATATTATAGTGGATCATTGATTAATTTGAGATAGTTTTATTTTTAAATATCTGGAATCTTTATTGATCGCATTTAACTAACCTTTTATCCTGAAATTGCCTGGAGAGTTCGTGTGTATCAAATAACATTTGCAAGGATAGACCTCCATAATGCTTATAAACCAAGCAGGTAGCTAAAATAGTTGCTGCTGTAACAGTTACTGGAGAAAATAACAACATAGGGCCTTTTATTGGCCTGTAAACAGGTGCTTTAGTTATGACTGTCAGAGAATTAGAAGGCTTAATTTAATGCTCTTTGTTTAAAGTGGCTCAGTGCATTCGTTCTTTTGTTTAAGGCAGCAGCAAAAGTAGTGGAAAGTAAAAGAGCGAGAACAACAGCCTATCCAGATAAACCTGACAGTGACAGCGACGCCGGAACTGAAGCTAATCTGGATGTAGGGAGAAGGTTTGTCAATTCATTGATACATTTTTTGTTTTAAGAGTACAATATCTTCAAGTAAAAGTGATGCTAGTGAGCCATTGTTAATAAAAATAATTACTGAGCAGTAGGTATATTGTCTTGCTGATGACTAACTTTTGGCTGTTTGGAGTATGTATGGCTTATGCAGAATTCTGTTACATATGCTAAACAAAAATAGAGAGTGAGAAAACGTGCAGTTTAGATAGTGTGAGCAATATCATTTACCATTCTCAGGGGACATGTGCTCTGGAACAGCATTGAATTGGAGACCTGACTCAACTGTGTCCTTTAGTCCTCGGGTCCCACGTGCCCTCCTTAGGTGACTCTTTTACTGTACTGTGGATTATTCGGTCTTTTAAGACCTTGTTCATACATCTTCTCTAAGCATGAGCTAGCCCACTTTGTTGGTCCTCCGCTGAAGAAATTGTGATTTGCTCTGGTGCTGGAGGGAAGCCGGCTTGTCAGTCATTCATATCAAGAGACGAGAGTTCAGTCTCCAAAATTATTTCTTCTTTAGAGGTTTGTGAGGGTGATTTTTACAGAATTGATTTTTGCCTTTTGCTTTGACTTTAGAAACTAACCCTATCGAAGAAGATAAACTCTGCCATTAGAAAAGTCTTCCTCTCTATTGAGCCTGTGGTCCATTGGTCCATTCCTTCTCTTCTTCCACCCTAACCCAAGGCCACATAGTCACATCCTGTGGTCGGCGTGGATGTAATATTACTGTTTATTCTTGGGACCATGACTTGAGCCCTTAAGGTGGGGTTTGGGGTCCAGGTTGGACGAACATGGCTTTGGTCACACCTCAGGACTGAGCTCAGTCATCTTACAGTCTCTTGTCCATGCCTGTGTGAGTAGGGTCTGCTCCTCGCTGCTTCATCTCCCCAAAGACTCCATTAAAGCCTTATTTCCCTCTGACTTACTTTTTTCCGAGACCCATTTTGAGAAGTACAAATTTTATTTTTATTGGCTCAATTATTTCATTTTGTTTAGGAAATCAAAGATTAGTAATACTAAGACTGAATACATTCTGTGGCCCAGCCTTCCTGCCCATTGTAATACTTCTTTAAAATAAAATTAAAACTTTCCATAGTTCCTACCGATAATGAACACATTTCCTACGTACCAGCACTTACTTCAGATGCCCTCCCGGACAGACAGTGTGTATAAAACAGTTCCTGGTGTCATCTCGCTCTGTGCCCTGCATCTTCTTCACCTCATACATCCAGCTGTCTCCCCAGGTTATGAATCCCATCTCAGAAACGCGTCTCTAATCCATTCTTTCTTATCATTCATATCCTTGATTATTAGCTTTGTACTGCACAAGTGCATCCTTGACATGACTTCCAGAGTTAGCTTCCCATGAAAACAAATCTGTTTAAATCACTTCCCAGTTTAATAGCATGCATTAGCTTCCTGTTTCTTACTAGATGAGTCAGGGTCTATTGGCATGGCTTACGAAACCGCATGTAGACGCTTTCAGTTTTGTTCATAAACAAGTCTGCACCTAAGCATTGACCCCTCCTTGCCTACACATATGGTACTTTCTAGCAACACAAAACTCCCTGATCTCGAAATATTACAAGCTCTTTCATGCCTCTACCCTTTCTTCAATTTTGAGTCTACTTTTCTTGTTTTCGCCAAGGCAAGCTCTTATTGGCCATTTAAGATCTAGCTCAAAGATCACCTATAAGAAATACTGACCTCTCCAGAGTTGTCACTTCTGTGCTCCCTTAGCACTGAGTTACATATCTTGGATAGTAACATAACTTTGTCTGTCTGTATCTCTCACTAGATTGAGAATTCTCTGGAGGTTCTTAATTAGTTCTGTGTCCGTGGTGCCTAGTTCATTATCAGGCATACATTAGAACTTGTAATACTAGATACAGGGATCAAAACCAAAACTAGAGACAAAGTAAAGGTCAAGAATCAAGCAACTATCAAAACCATCCTGGAAGCAAATAGAATCAGAACAAATAAAGCATCAAATTCACCAGTATCAGGACAAGAATCGGCAGGATGCGAGTGAAGCGAGGATAGAATCAGAAGTGATTGCAAGGTCAGACAGATGCTAGGACAGATGAAGCCCTCATGTTACCAGCACTAGATGAAATAAATATTTTGCTCTGAAGAAGCTTATAAACTATTGAAGACCATAAGAATTATCAGTGTAAAACAAACAGTAGCAGACATTATGTAATTTGTTGTTAAAGTTTATAGATGGCCATAAATGCTGAAGTTGATATGGGCAGCTTCAAGGAAGTTGAGCACTGAGTGAGGCCTTGAAGGTTAGTTAAGATTTTTACAGGTGAGTGGAAGAGGAGGTGTCATTTCAGGAGAGCGTAGTTCCCATGAAGGCATGGAAGGTGTAAGTGGTCATGCTGTGTTTGTGGAAGCCAGTTTTAACTACAGCAAAGGGAGGAATTTGTTAAAAAGTTCAGTTGTCGACTGGTGAAGGGGACAAGAAATTAAACTTGAATTCATGGAAATAAAGATGCATGGGAGAACTTTTAAAAGCGTGACATACGAATGCTTAATTACAACATTAATTCTGCTTAACTTGCATGGGGAAGCTTCATATGATAGCTAGTAAGCACATCTGGGCAAATGTTAGCCATGTTGTAACGGACAGTATATGTCCTAATGTTACTAGGATTTCTTTCCAAAAGATTTTTTATTAATTGAAATATTTAATAAATGGACTGTGTGGAAAATAATGTTATGAAAAGTTTATTACATTTTTACATTTTTTTCCTTCTTTTAAAGTGTTAATGACAAACCATCTGCGGTAACGGAATCCTCAGATGATACAGTATCCTTGCTGAGGTGAAGTAAATTGGCAATTTTCTTCTCTGTCTTTAAAATCTTTTTAGCAACTCATGCAGACCTAGACATGTTATAATAACTGCCACATAAATGGTATGATTTAAAGACTGTCACAAGGCCCTGCTTGCCTCTGCAGATATTCAAGACCCTGGTGTGGCCTGGAATTCCAAACTGTAGAGATCTGCCTATGGGGTCCTGGCTTGTTTCGCGTTGTTTCTACAAAACCATTATTGGAATACACGTATAGGGAGTACTTTAACTTAGAGTAGATGCTTATTAAACTCTTATTCTGCCACAGAAACAAGGATGTGATGTTGGGGCAGAAAGGATGGAGGTTACATGTCTGATGGCCGTCCCAAAATCCGATTTTCTGAAAAACTGTATTTAACTATTGGAAATGCTGTGGAGACAATCTAACATGTTCAGAGAGCAGAAAGTCTGCGTGAATGATTTCGGAGATAGAACAGTCGAGATGCTGAATGACAGACACAGTGGCTGACTTGGTCAATGGGAATGGGGAATCGAGGAGCCAGGATGTTATGTGGGTTATCCATGGGAACACCAAAAAGTTCATGGTAACAGCGGCAGTTGGGACGGAGAAAGATCTGTGAATGATGGGAACTACTTGAAAGGGGGGCGCGTGGCTATGATGAGTGGTAGGTGGCAATTCACCTCGGTAATGTGATCATCAAGGGCTACCTTGTCAATGGAAGCAGGAAGTAGGGAATGAACTGTATAGGGGCCACCTCCAGGACCCGGTGGTTCACAGAAGGTGGGAGGTTAAGTGTCTACATGGGAAGCCTGCAGAGGAGCGATATACCATTCCCAGGGCAGAGTTAGATTTTAGACGAGGCGAAGAGGTGGGGAAACTGGTGAAGAGGCGAGAACGGCGTTCTGCAGAGCACAAGAGAGTCTTGGGAGGGAGGGAAAGGATTAGCAGGTGGCATAGAGCACTTGTAGGGGTAAAAGTATAGGTTTTTGGTGGTGATGGAATCACTGGAGTGAACTTCTTTCGTCAGAGTTTGCTCCTCTGTAAAATTGGACTGATACTAACTTTGCAGGGTTGTCAAATTCTGCCACATCCTCTAATTCCAAACAGCCTTACCTTTCGAAAAAGCCCTTTTTGGAAGCTGTGATCAAGTGATATCTGCCATCATGTATAAAGGAATTTTGGCTTTTCTCTTTGGGAAATAAACTTATAAACCATAGGAGAGAATGCAAGTCAATACTTTCTAGTCTGAGGATTTTTTTTTCTTGATCTCTGATTGGAAGACCAAAAGAATCTTGATTTCTGAGTAGATGAGATGGAGGAAATAAGTGATGGGAGAGAGGGAAGTCTGATAGCAAAAATCAGAGGCCAAAAGTTAAGGTGGGCACTGAGCAAGAATAGCACCAAAAGAAACAGGCCAAAGTAGAAGAATGCTCTAGAACAGAGATAAGACAAATCATCTGCCGTTTTCTATAGCTTTTCTAGTCTTTGTGGAACCAGTCACAAGCTTTCATGTGTCATGTAGGTCTCACAGGAATCTCTTCCTATCTAAGTCACAACATGGAAGACAACAAGGCCTTAATGAGAAAGAAGAAAGAGCAGAAACTAGTCAAAGTGAGTACTCTTATTGCAGTTTTAGAAGTGGGGAATTGATGTATTCTGGAAAGCCAGCCAACCCTGGACCTCATCACCACACACACAAAAGGCACTTCAGAACACTGAAGCGCAAAGATCAAATGTCCTGACTTCACAGAGTTAGAGGTGGTGATTAATTTGGAAAGCTATTCTGACTGCCTCGCTTAGACTACTGTGGATCTGGGGGTTCATTGCTTTTCCACATTAACTTTATTTAGCAACTCAAAATAATTGTTCATCTGAGACATAAATACAGTTGATTCTTATTATTTATGGTAGTTATGTTCTAGACAGTCTCTGTGAACAGCGAAGTAATGAATCCTGACCCACTGCAGGGGAATACAGGGTTCAGTTCCTTTGAGCCTCTGGTCACAACATTTGTGTCAACTGATGAGTACATAACCTTGTTTTATGTGTTTCTGTTTAAACATACCTTATTTAACATATATCGTTGATTCATTAACATAAACTCATGGCCAGCAGCACTATAACTCATGCCTGAGGGAAGTATCTCTAACAAGCATTTGCTTGATAAGGAACATCATTGCTTTCTTACTCTTAGAAACACTGGATTGCACTTCCACAGTACACTTGGGGGCATTTTAAACAACAAAATTACCACCAAAAAGCATGAAAATAGGCTGTATAAAGGACACTTATTGATAGCATGAGTGCTAAAACAGGAAGGCGGAGCTTCACCTTATTGAATCTCAGCTGGGAGCGTGCATTTCAGGTGACTCAAAATGTTGCCATTCTGCACATGTCCACCGATGACCACAAAAGCACTGAGTATTGGCTTTTGATTTACAAATTTTAGTAGGTAAGTGAATTCGCAAATACAAAATTATGAATAATGAGGAATGTCTTCTATATATAGAATCTAGCTACCCTCTTTGTTGTGTTAAGAATTTATTATCCTTATTAAAGGCATTGATTAAAAAAACCAACAATAACCAAAAAAAGAATCTTAAAAATAGTCCATAATTATTTTCAGTTACAAGTTGACCATAATTTCCTCCTTAGTGTTTTTGCAGTGAACAAACAGCTATTAAACTGACAGTGTTCTAGGTACTATACTAATACAGGGATTTTTAAGCCTTATTGATCCAAACCTAAATACTTACTGATCAATATAAAATAATAGATGTAGCAACTTGATGCCAGGCACATAGTAGGCCTGCAGTAAATATTAATTGAATAAATTTATTCATAGTTGAGGGCTGATGGCATGGCCATTCTTAGCTAATATTTGTAAATTATAGCTCTGAAACATTTACATCCATAGAGGTTATCATCATCTTTGTTTTAAAGACGGTGAAGTTAAACTCGAATACTTGCTTCATGTTGGTGGAGTTCCACAATTTTTTTCTACATCTATTACTAGAAAATGGCTAAACTAAGTTAATTCTAAACTAAAATAATATAGTTCCCTTGACCTCCTTACGTGCCTATCTGACTAACTACAGAAACTGCTTGGTATCAGGACCTGATTAAACCCTGTACATTCAGCAAGAACTGCAGGGATGCTCATGGCCCAGGGTGGATTGCCATTCCTAACATATAAAGTTTAGATTAATCTTAAGTTCTTCGAAGAATCCTGTTAAATTTTTGATTTGAAATTGTGTTGTAGTAATAGAAAATTTTGGAGAGAACTGACACAATTATATTAACAAAAAGTATATTTAGATTGTCATATATTTTCTTATAACGTATATGTTATACACACACATATATAGTAAAGCTTTGTAATTTATAATATACAGATCTTGAATACTTTTGCTAGACTTATCTCTAAGAATGTTACATTTTTGTTACTACTGTAAATATTATCTTTCAATTATTTTAATTAAATATTTTAACTTGCTAATGTACAGAAATACTATTGAGTCTTGTTTATTGATCTTATATCTAACCATCTTGCAAAACTTTTTAATTCTATTTGTAGATTCTTTTAGATTTGCTATATAAAAATTTTTCTTTCAATAATTACAGTACTATTTTCAGTTACCTATATATTTCTTATCTTACTAAATTGACTGAATAAAAAAGGGAATAAGGAAAAGTTATACTTACTACATTGTGTCAAATCATAAATACCATCTTAAGAAAATTTCAACAATCCTGTTAGGTAAATATTATTTCTCTTTTTAACAAATGATGAAAAGGCAGGCTCTGGGAGGAGAGATGACTTGTTTAAAGGCATATAAAAGAATCAAGATTCAAAACACACCCTCTGGTTTTCCAGTACTGATCTTTGCACTGTACCATGCTGCTTCGAGATTCAAAGGGGGGAAAAATTAAGCACATAGAATTCTTTTTTTAAAAAAATAGCTAAAAAATTAATAGGAATTTCATGGTAACCTTTAAAAATACCATTCCTCTTTTTCTTTTAATGTGAAACAGTTTTTGATGATAGTATTTCTACTTTTAGGTCGAGGAAAGAGAAAAGATAACAGTAGACAAGCTATTGAAAGCAAGAGAGTACATGCTTTAAACAATCAGCCAGCAACTTCTAAAAATCATCGATCTAGGAAAAAACAGGTATTTATTTATTATTTTTAAAATAATACTTAATGGTCATTAAAATCATAACTTGAATAATTATTATTTCACATCCCATCAACTCTAAAAATATCTTGAGTATAAAATGTTTCTTCTTGGCTGTCTTTGATTTTGCCGTCTTAGATTAATTGACCAATCTGCCTATTCACTTCTAAGAAAATACTTCATTTGCATTTTTAAAATGTGTTAAGTTGGGTATTGATGACATTTATTTAAAAGTCAGTTCATCAGATGTAAGGTGGGACTTAATTTAAATGAGAGTCTTCAGTGCTTTAAAGAAAAGAAAATACCATTTTATACAGAATTTTTCTGTTCAGAAAGTTAAGATAGGTCAGTTTTAAGACTCACTTCATCTCTTTCTCCTGTCAGTGATTAAAGGTCCTGTGCCATCTGTCCAGTGTCTGAAACTATCGTTTCCTATATTTTATCTGGTTTTCTAGTTCTTTACAGCAGTGAATAAATCTGGTCTTGTTCTCTTATGGCTGGCAGTGCAAGGTGATCCTACTTTTTTCCAACTCTCCTTTATTTAAGAATTTTTTCTTGATAAGCTTTTTGCAAATGGTTCATATTGAAATGTTAGGTCAAGGCTCGAGTTCTAGGCTACTAGAAATATTTCCTGTGGCTCACGTCTTATTTTGGCCTTGCTTTCTCCCCTGGTGAACATAGCAAGCAACTCTTACTTTTGATTTTCTTCTTGCAAATATTGCTTATCTGTGATTCCTGATTTAGTCCTACCACCTCTGTTTTTGGAGCTATTGCAGATTGAGGGAGGCTCTTACTTTGGAAAAATGTACACCACAGGCTGTCTTGAGATCAGTAAGCAGAGTAACTACGCGCTGATTCTTTGCATACCTTTTGTCAGTTTCCACTGATAACGTATACCTTCCACCTGTATTCTGGTTCAGGTCATAGCGGTCTTCTAATTTTATCAAAGTTTGGGATTTTCTTTCTTTCCTTGTTGCTGTTGGGTAAATTCCTGCGGACCTTATGCCACCAAAAGTCTTATGTATTTTTGTCTTTAATTTTTTTTGCCCTGCAAACATGATGTGCCAAGGTATAGATTTGGGAGTATTATCCTACATTGTGTTTTCTGATCTTCCTAGATCTGTTTTGGTCTCTATCATTAATTTTGGGAAATTCTCAGCCATTGTTACTTTAAATCTTCATTTCATGCCTTCTCTCTTTTTCTGGTGTTCCATTACATGTATGTCACATCTTTTGTAATTGTCCCATAGTTCTTGGTTCTTGGCTATTATTTTTTCTTTTTGTTCTTCGCTTGTCAGTTTGAGAAGTTTCTGTTAATATATATTCAGGCTTACTGATTCTTTCTTGATCCATGTCTGGTCCTCTGATGAGCCCGTCAAAGGCGTCTTCATTTCTCTTTCTGTGTTGTTGATTTCTGGCATTTCCTGTTGATTCTTTCTTAGGGTTTACATCTCTGCTTACATTTATTTTTCCATCTGTTTTCACCTGTTCACTTTTTTCCACTAGAGCCCTTGGCATATTCATCATAGTTATTTCAAATTTCCGCTCTGATAATTACAGCATCTCTGCCATAGCTGAGCCTGATGCTTTGTCCCTTCTGATAGTATTCTTCACCTTTAAGTGTACCTTATAGTTTTTTGTTGATAGCTGGATATGATGTATCAAATAAAAGGAACTAAGATACATTGGTCTTTACTGTGAGGTTTTATGTTTGTCTGGAGAGGAGTTATGCTTTATTTACTATAGCTATAGGTATCAGGGGCTAAAATTTCCTTGTTTTTATCTTTCTTGTCTTTGGATTTTCCTGCAGACTCCTTCTTAGTGAGAGTCCAAGGCAGCTCTTTCAGCTGAGGCAGTTGGTATAGAGGAGCCCAAGCAGTGTGGTGTTAAGATGGGGAAGGAGGAAAGGTAGCGTTCTGTATGACTATATTTTCACTATAAATGGTAGCATTTTTAAAGCATTATAAAGCATTGTTTTTTCCTCTACAGAAAGAAGAAATCAAATATGTTATATAAACTTTTTGGCTTTAGGAAAGAAGGATTGGTGCATTTTAATTTGTTATGCACTCTTTGTATTTTGGGGTGTTATGGGCATGAGAAGAACGGTTTTCGGAGTTTTATTGATTCTATTTTTAATTTTTTAAGAAAAGCAAAGACAGAATAGCACAAAGGACAGTTTTTTTAATGTCCTGGAATATATCATTTTAAACTCTTTGTTAACTATGTGTCATTATGAATGGAATATAGTATAATTAGTGAAATGTATAAAATGAAGAAATGAAGAGTTTTAAGAAAAAGTAGATCTATGAAATTTTACTGCCTTTGTGTTTTCTTTCTGATCTGATGCTGATAACCCAATTGTGTCACTTACTCAACTCCATAGAAAGCGGGAGTTGGCGTCTTTAAACTCTAATCTTTTAAAGAATACATTTAAAGAATATAGTTATTACTGCTATGTGATCGCTTGTTCCATATGATGTTTTTAAAGATTCTTTGACCTTTAAATCATAAATGAAATTAAGCAAAGACTATAAACCTTCAGATCAAACAAAATAAGGCATCATCAGTCTCAAAGCAACAATATATCAAGTTCCTCTTCAATAGTAGAAAAAAATATTTAATGTTAAACACTGGTTTTCAGTTGTAACTTTCTTCTCAGTCAGAGGTTGGCAAGTTTTTTTCTGTACAGGCCAGGCAGTGAATATTTTAGGCTTTGAGAGCCACATACAGTTTCTGTCACATATTCTTCTTTTCTTTTTCTTTTTTAAAAATAGCTTTTTAAAATGTAAAAACTATTGTTAGCTCCTGGACTGTGGAGACAGCCTGGAGCTGGATTTTTGCAGTAGCTTGCCAACGCCTGCTGTATGTGAGATCCACTGGAAAGCACTGCTTGTACCTGTTGCACCCAGGAACCTAAATAGGGTTCAAGCAGAAAATGTTAGTTATTTCTTGAGAGAAATGGGCTTTGGTCTTATATCAGGTATCATCTGTAATTGCTATTAAAAGTAATATAACTCAGATTAAAACAAGAAAACAGTGCTGTGTATATGAAATTCACATAAACTAAAGGCTGCTTTTTAAAGCCGAATAATTGTGGCAACTTCATGCACAACAGAAAATGTTATCTTGGAGACCATAAAACTGATAAGCTTTTTAAGGGGAGTCTAAGTGGTCCCTGAAATTTCGTGTAAAATTGTACATACCTTCCCTTGTCTTGAACCACTTCACACACATGAGAGCCACTCAGGGTTTGTCTGAGTTGTGGTATGTGCCATAGCTTTCATCGCGTCCTCAAAGATTCATGTGACCTTGAAGATTAATAACTCACTGCTGAAGTACTTTTAATCAGTACGTCCGCCCCCCTCCCCTTTAGACTCCTTGCCGCTCACATGCAAAAGTTCTGTCCCTTGGTTTTGCGTCGGTCGTAGTGAGGCAGAGTGGTGACTGCTGAGGGGCGTGGGCTGGTCGATCTGTGGAGGTCACAGGACCTTCTTTGTCTAGAGATTGCGTAGCTGTGCACCGTGTGGGCAACACGATTGCTCATAGGTGGCAGCTCAGACAGCCTCTGCAAGGGACTTAATTATGGTCACTGCCAATTTTGTGGCATTTACACAAGATGGTTTCCATCTTGTGTTTGTCTTCTTCAAGCCACCTTGAGCTCTTTTTCACAGTGCATCAGACAACTGAGGTAGATATTATTTTTCCCTTAATTGTAGCAAAACACGCACAACAAAACTTACCAGCTTAACTGTTTTGAAGTGTACAGTTGGGCTCATTAAACACATTCATGGATATTGTTGTGCCTCCATCACCACCATCCAGCCGCAGAATTCTTCATCTTGCAAAAAACTAAAACTCTGTGCCCATTAAACAGCTCCCCGTTCCCTCCTCCCCGTCCACCTGCAATCACCGTTCCATTTTCTGTTTCTGGGATTTTGACTCCTCTAGGTACCTCCCGTAAGCGAAATCATACAGTATTGTCTTTTTTTGTGACTGATGAATTGATTTTTAAAGAAAATGTGAAAGTCTTCTGAGGAAATTAATCATAGTCTAGACACAGTAAATCACTCAGGTGGTCATATTGCTCCTTCAGTATGTCAGCAGAAGGAATAATTAGTTGGTCACCTTTAGCAAATACTGAGTAGCTGTCATTTTTTTCCTCTGTATGATAGTGAATTTGATTTTTTAAAAAATTTTAGTTATTTTCTCCAAAAATAAAATAGTATAGTTTTAATTTGTGCTAGTCATATTTTCAAAAATATGTTTTTACAGAAGATTTGAGTTTTACCTGTGCATGTACTTTGCCCATCATAAACAGAACAGGGTTTTCGCTAAGTTCATTAATAAAATATTAAATATTCATAAATTCTATTTAGAGGTATGTGGATTATAAATACCAACTTACTGACCACTGTAGAAAAGCATCTTAAACGACAGTGTATGGGCTTAAAGTCAGATGAATTGGGGAATTAGATTAGTGTTTACTCTGTCGCTTTGTAGCTCTCTGATCTTAAGCAGCTGAGCCACAGAACATGTACATAAAAAACAGTAATATTAAGGGCCTTTAAAATGTTACGAGAGATCTTACATAAGTTTAAGAAATGTATACAGAAATTCTTCCATCTTTAAGAAATTAATATTTTAAAAAGTCATTTATAGTAGGTATGTTCTTTAAAGAATTGTAGTAAATAACTTCTACTTTTTATTTACTTTCGATGGATGTTAACTAGACTTATTCCTTTAATTGTAGTAAAACACGCACAAAAACATTTCATAATATGTACAAATATCGAATCATTGTGTTATAACATAAACTAATATAATGTGATATGTCAGTCATACCTCATTTAAAAACAAAGAATTGTCTCTGAATAACTTTTTTTTATCAAAAGGCATGGCTTTGGGAAGAAGATAAGAATCTGAAATCCGGCGTGAGGAAGTATGGAGAGGGAAACTGGTCTCAGATACTCTTACATTATAAATTCAACAATCGAACAAGCGTCATGTTGAAAGACAGATGGAGGACTATGAAGAAGCTAAAACTGATTTGCTCAGACAATGAAGACTGAATGTGATTGTAAAAGCTTGATAAAAGGACAGTTAAATATTTTGATTACTCCATTTTCTTTGAAACTTGGTGGTCATTGATGTATCTTAAAATTTTTATTTAAAGCATTATAGTATTTTTTTGTGACACAGTCATTTAATTAATATGAGGATTTGTTCTATATGGGATTATATGCCATCACTGCATTCTTTAAGTACCTTTTTACTTTGATGAAATGTAAATCTGTTGAACCCCAGTGCTTTCAGTACTTCTACCCCTAATCCGTGTTCCAATAAAAAATGAAAACCTGTTAAGAGAAAAAGTCGATTTCTGTTAAGCTATTCTGTGTCTGTAGGCTGACTTCATCTCCATGGCACACACATCAAAGAGGTTTCTAAATCAGTGAATAATAGGCCTTTGACATAAGAGGTGATGATTTATGGCCTCGATATATTAATTACTTAGAATGATGTACAAAGTAATCTTGAGTTTTAACATACTTAAAATTTTCCTTTCAATAGTTTCATATAGAGGAAAACACTTAAACAGTAGTGACTATAGGATAAAATTTGTACTGTTACCGAGAACTACTTCATGTGTCGTTCAGGTACATGTAACTCGTTCCAGTTAAAACTTTGACAAAGGTGGTTTTATTTTTTATTTATTTATTTATTGTTGTTATTTTTTTTTTTTTTTAGGTGAAGCAACCCTTGGGTGACCTCACAGGTTGCAAGGACCTTGTCCGCTTTCAATCCCTTATTTTTTTATTCCTACAGCACCTGGTTTTCCTAGGTGGTCTCCCATCCAAGTATTAACCAGGCCCGACCCTTCTCAGCTTTTGAGATCAGACAGGATCAGGCTTGTTCAGGGTAGCATGGCTGCAGACAACCAAAGTGGTTTTAAATAAAGCTTCTTCGAAAACTAATAAAGTTATATAGCATTTTGAGTTACATGTGCTTTATTTGAGTGAAAATACTAAAGTATTTGCATGAAAAGTGAAATGGTAGTATTTCGTAATCTATATTTCTTATTGCATTATAAATTACTCTTCCAATATTCTTGACTTTGTTGTTCTATATGTATAGTAAACAAAAATGTGGATAATTACTATGTGCTTCCTGACTCTGTTCTGTCATACCACTAGTTGCTGTCAGCATGTTTATTGGACATTTCGATGGTTAGTGTCAACACAGGCAGCATGAGCCCAAAATGGACCTCCTTATTTCAGACATACCATAAATCCTCAAATCTAAGTTGCCATTAACTATAAGATGCTCAGTTATTTTATGTCCCACTAAAAAAGATCACTACCAACTATATCATAGTTTGGTGTTTTCTTATTTATAATTTGGTTTTACTTATTAAAAAAAGCTATTTTAGATTTAATTAAAACATTTTTTTTATCCTATGACTTGTGACTACATAATAAATTGGATAATGTATTTTTAAAACTTCAACTTAAATCTGAATCTTCTGAATTACTTTTTCAATTGAAATTTTTGTTGAGATAATTGTAGATTCACGTGTAGTTGTTGAAAATTATACAGAGGCCCCTTGTACATTTCTTCCAGTTTTCCCCCAGTATTAATTTGTGAAACTACAGTATATTGATATTGATACAATCCACCAATCTCATTCAGATTTCCCAGTTCTTCTTGTACTGTTTCTGTGTGTTTAGCTGTAAACTACTTCTCATTCGTGTAGGTTCCTGTACCCACCACCGCAGGCAAGATGCTGAACAGCTTCAGTGCCAGCTCTCCCTGTTGCCACTCATCTCTCTCGCGTCATTCCGCCAACTCCTGGCAACTGCTCATCTGTCCCCCATTTTTAAAATGTAATCATTTAAAAATGTTCCATAAAGAGTGCCATCACCCAAAAAGGGGAGTAGAGAGCTCCGAAGGTCCTCATACTGAAGCAGTTGTTATTAAGCTGGCAAAACCTCTTAGCGTCAACTTTCAAAGCCCTGGAATCTAATAAAAACACAGCCCGGAGTGCTTATGAAGGAAGGGGCCGCTAAAGTTTGGCGAGATGATTTTAGTGTTTTTGCTCACTCTGCTTGTAGGACAGTGGCCCATTACTTGGCGCAGCTTGACAATGACAGAGGGACCGTGCAGAACTTATTCTCACAGAATTGTGGTTGTGTGTTTTGCCTACTCTGTGCTCTCTGGGCTTTAAAGACATCACCCCGAGCAGCAGACCAATCGGAAACCCTGGGGAAGAAGAAACATGGGGTAAGAGCTTTGAAAGACTCGGGTCAGCTGGGGGATCTAGAAGGCCGTGCACGTGCCCAGAGTGACACGGTCTCAGAAAAGACCTGGAGGGTCCAAGTCCTCCATCGTGAATGGTCTTTGGGTTTCCCACGTGCCGGAAGTGAAGGCTAAGGCAGAGTTGTAGGCGGCCTGGCCAAGCGCCAAGGAGTACCCAACTCAGAGCCAACCCACAAAGACTGAGAGAAGAGCTTTTGTTTCGTTTTTTTGACTTGAGTCATTTAAGGAAATTAGATGGAATATGCTACGTATTCTTTACTGATCTTGCACTCGACATATTTATGTCATATGTACCTGTAGCTCATTCATTTTTATTTCTATAAAGTAATGTTGTATGATTATATCACAATTATTTGCCTTTTATGCTGTTGAGCATTTGAGTAGTGGGAATAAACATAGACTAATCAAAAATGGGAACACACAGGCTATTTCCCCAGGGCTTGCCGTTACAACAGCGTCGGCCGCCATCACTTGTGTTTGGTGGAGTCTCAGGCAGAGATTTGCAGTGGGAAAGCTTTGGGGTTGTTGACAAAGAGAAGGCTCAGCCCGGCTCTTACGGGACGTCGCTGGCATGAGGAAGCTGGAGGCCGGCCACCTAGCAGCAGGCATCTTGTGTGATTGTTTTGGGGAACATACTTGGCTTTCTCTGGTCACTTCTGAGTTGGAAGTCGGGACAAAGAGTCGGATGTTGGCAGTCATCAACCAAGCACTGACCATTCAGGGTGGATTGCTGTGCTGGTTTGCTCTGGCGCCCTCCGCTGGTTGCTGAGGTGGGGGGTCATAGTGTGTTGTCATAACGAGGGTGGGCAAGCTTTCCATAAAGTGCCAGACACACTGTTTTAGGCTCTGTGGGCCATACAGTCTCAGTCAGCTAGGTCATAGTGTGTTGTCATAACGAGGTCGGTCCCTTGTCTACATTCAGTCTCGGAGTTGTGTCCAGTTTGTAGCTGCAAAGCTTTTCCGATTTACTTGTCGTGTGATATTAGGAATAATAACTCTTAAGTAAACTGAAAAGTTAGGTATGCTGTTGAAAGCTCTAGAGTCCATTTAAAAGAATACAGATATGTAGCTAATCAGTTGATTAAAGTGGAATATTAAAAATTTTTAAATAATCCAAAAGAAAGCAAAAGGCGAGAGGAAGAGAAACAAAGGCAAACAAAACCACCAGGACAAAGAGGAGGGAAAAAATGGCACACCTGTGTCCAGCCACACCAGTAATTACGTTAACTCTGATGGTCTAAGCCAGAGGGTGGGCAAGCTTTCCATAAAGGGCCAGACACACTATTTTAGGCTCTGTGGGCCATACAGTCTCAGTCAGCTCTGCTTGGAACTAGCCAAAGTCATAAATATGTAAATGAGGTGCATGGCTGTGTTCCAATAAAACTATATTTGCAAAAACAGACAGCTGGCAAGATTTAGCCTGTAGTTTACCAATCCTTGCCTTTGAGTTCTGAATTTTAAATTTCACCAAGTTGTCTCTCAAGGTGGGGATTTTTAAAAAATTCATCTTGTTTGTTGCTCCGTGAGACTCCCACCCCAGGAAGGATGGCTCTCACCTCTGATTCTACCTTCTTTTGTACATGTTTTAAAGAGTATGCTCCCTCCATCTGGTTTATCCATCAGTAGAATCCTATTTACTTTCAGTCTTCAAAATCTCTGGACTGCTTTCTACCCATCTCCCATCTCATCTATGTTATGAGTTTATTTTCCTCTGTAAATCCTGAAATTTCAGTGGGATTTACGGAAAGAGAGAGGGGTAAACGTGTGTCCATCTGTCACCTTGACCTAGAAATGTCACTTCTCTTTTAATATGTTCTTCCTCTGGTTGCTTATACCTCAGAATGCAAACACATAACTGCAAGTCTTTGCTTTCTAAATCAACTTGTAGTTATAAGAACCTTCACTAGAATATTCTTAGAAGGCAGAACCAGGTTTCTTTTGTATCATTTTTGTGCGTACCTGGAAAAGATAACTCATTAAAATGTTTACACCAGAGCAGAAGTGAACAATAAATTATTGCTCTTTATGCTTACTTACAACATTCTTGAATAAAAACATCTCAAGAAAGACCTTAAAGAATAGTGTGATTATAGTTCACTCACCTGGTTCCTTTTTCTAGTCTTTTTTCTCCTTTTTTTTTTTTTCACTTTTTCCTTTCTAAATGATCACCATCCCTAATTCCTTTCCCCCTCTTTTCTGAGTGGGTGTATTTATTTTTGTTCAAATTACTTTCCACATGCACTTTTTAAAATCAGTCTGTTAAGTGATTCTAGGGTTTGTAAATCATTGCCTAGTGCCTGTGGAAAGGACCTGACTCTAAGGTACTCGTGAAAAAGGCATGCTGAAGAGGTCTTAAATACTTTGATCTTTAACTTTTGAAAAGAAAATCTTTTGGTTCTTCATTAATCACTTGGACTACAGTTTCAGTTCTCAACTGTTTCCTTGGGCTTTGCTAGAATTAATAGCAAGCGTTTCAAAACTATTATTTAGTAGTTAAGTCTTCTAGCCTATGAAATTCTTCTCAGAAATAGAAATTACAAAAATATACTTCGGCATGAAAGTAATTAATGGCCATGCACTAAAAATAAATGCATAAGATGAGAATTTGATTTTATGCAACTCAAATATGTTAAATGTTTTAACACATACTGGAACCATAAATATATCACAACTTTATTGCTGTTAGTCATCGTACTTATACCTGTCAATTCTGAAAGTTTTTCTGTTTTGTTTTGGTGAAATTTTGTTCATTCTCTGACCAATCCAGAAAATTTGGATATTTTCTAGTCAAGCAAGTAAAGAGCTTTTAAAAATGTGAACATAAAGTTTATTTATTGTATAAAAATGTTAAGTCACATTGAAAATCAGCCAGGTATATTTTCAGAAATCTTGCTTTACACATGCTAAAATCATCTTAAAATGTTAACGTTAAACACATAGTTGAAGTTTCTAACTTTGACGAGACTCAAATATTTTATTACTAATTTCCAAAGAATTTAATTTACCACAAAAACTACTGACGGTTAAATGAATATATAGTCACAAATATTGGTACTCTCAGAATTAAATATTCCATCCCTATTAAGCTTGCTATTATCATTCTGTCATTACATAAGTACTGAAAAATATGTATTTTAGTAAATCATGTTAGTGAATAATATTTTATACAAATGAAACCAAAGGAATTTCACATAGTTTAAATCTTGAGATTCAATTCTCCAAAGAAAATATCCTGAATTTAAAATCTACTTCGAAAATGAAAAACACTTAAGCTTTTTACAGCACAGCCTTTGGCATCGAAGCTGAGTTCTGAATGAGATGCCGAGATTTAGCTCAGTGGCTGACCTGCAGTGCCTTGTCTTCTCAGACCCTTAAACAAGACTCTTTGTCCCCGGTTCATTGGTTTTCCGATCATAAAATAAGGAGACCAAGACTTCTCTGTGTGAATGTATGTAAGACCATAGCATTTGTCATAAAATCTACCTTCTATAACTGTACCTCTGCTTTCTACCCCAAACGTAAGAAAATGTATGCTATAGAAAAAAGCAGTGAGTTTACTTCAACTAAACTTGACATTGGACTCTGAAAGATTATTTTAGTCAGCTCCAGACTCAGCCTTGGAAATAATCATAGGTGCTAATGACGGTAGAATTTTCATAATTAAAGCAATTGTTTCCTTTATTGGTGCCAAAATTCCTCTTTGTGAAAAGTATAACATTTAAAGGAACTCATTCATATTGACCTAGAATAAACATTTGAGCTTTTCAACTAATTGAAGAAAATTTCTTCTTCAAAAAAGTATTTTAGCATAGCTATTTTTTTATTACAAAATGCTAAATCTTAAACAACTGTCCTATGAAAAATTATTTGTGACAATTTGCTTGAAATTAATTATTTCAGAATTTGTGGAATAATATATGGAAAAAGTATGTGTGAAAGTATACACATATCTGAATACCTTTTTAAAGTGAGAAGTTTTGACGATTGCAGATTAGGAAGAAAAAATGGAAAATTCAAAGTGTGGCTATCCTTAAATGACAACTTATTCACCAGTACGTGAACCACGTTATAATAATTTTAGTGCAAACAGACATGTATCTCGTGGCACATGGGCCACCTGTTGAATGAGACGGTTCTGTGTTGAAGGTCAAGGACAAAACCACAGGAGACTTTAGAGTGGGTCCTCAACGCAGTGAAGGTAAAAATCAAGGTGCTGTGTGCCCCTAAATTTTCTTTCTCCACTTCGGAGTGTGGCAATGACATGTGTCAGTCAGGAACTTGGCCAAGCAAGTGTTGAAGGTTTATGAAGCGTTGGACATGACTCGATAATATTTAGCATGTTTATAAACACATTTTGAAATGTTTACCTCATAATCTATATAAATATAAAGCTGTGAACAGCTGGACAGGTACACTGGTCTACCCGCCGAACTTTTTTCCAAGTTCCTTGACATCGAGGATTGCCAATTGCTTGCCAATGGAGAGTCTGATTTCTGAAACAATATTTTGAAAACGTTACTTACGCTAACAGCAAACCAAAGAAAATTCTAATTTACAAAATTATGCATTGAAGCTTAAATACGATAATCATCCTACAGGAGTTTTGAAGTACATTATGAATTGAAATTCTAGAAAATGATCATCAACTGAGTTTCCTTTCTCTGGGTTCTAGCAACGCAAGTTACCAATTAATCCCTGTTCGAGGATGCCTTATTCCGGGAGAGTAGTCTGAGTATTCATCTCTGTCACTTGATGTAGATATATGAAGGCTACATAAAGGAAAATGGCATCCTGCTTTATGTACCTTTAAATTAGAGGGATCCGAACCAAGTGATCTCTTGTAATCCTTTCCAACTCTTTGATTCCATAATGAAAAAGTGGGAGGAGTGGAAAGAGCGAAGCCAGATTACTGAAATTATTATTTTTAAAGTCACTGAACCTCAGCCAGGGTTTAAGGTACTTTATGGGTACAGATTAAATTATAAATTCATTTAAAGTCAAAATATGGATGATGTATTCAGAAAAATAATAAGTCTAAATTATTAAGTTTCTATTTCATATGAATTCCTTACCCACTTTACTGTTCATATGGTGTACTCACTACAGAGGCTGTTGGGCACAAGTGACTAATAAACGTAAATTCAAGTTATTAAACATTAAAATATACCGTGGGGATAATGAGTAACTAAAAAGGTCCACATTTTACTTTCTAATCTGTATTTTTACCAGTTCCATCTAATATACTCAAATCCATAATCTGTGCCCAGCATGAAGTCTACCTTTTCTTAGTTATAAGCAGTGTTGTCAGCTTTACCTGATAGTGAGCTCAGGACTGGGGCTGTTTTTTTCAGAGCAGTAAAAAGTTTTCAAGGGTTGATTCTTTTGGACAGTCCGTAGATCTCTGTAGGTTTGTGACCCTGCAAAGCTGAGCCCATGCCTTTTATGAGGGCTCCGCTGATCAGGGGTTCTAAGCTGGGCTGTAGGGATGAGAGGTCTGGGCAGGGGGCAGCCAACTATGACCGCAGCCGAATCTGACCCAGCCCCTGCTTTTCTGTAGTCTGTGAGCTAAGGATGATTTTTATGTTATCAAAGAGTTGAAAGAAAGTCAAAAGAAGAATATCTTGTGATAAATGAAAATTATTAAAGTCAAATTTTAGTGTCCATTAATACAGCATTATTAGAACAAAGCCAAGCTCACGTGTTTACATATTGTCTGTGGCTGCTTTTGTGCTACGATGGCAGAGCTGAGTAGTTGTGACAGAGACTATGTGGCCTCCAAAGCCGAAAATATCTATCGTCTGGCCCTTTACAGAAAATATTTGCTGACCCCTCACCTAAGAGAGTGTTAAAAAAAAAAACACCCCCAAAGCATCTGATTCAGGTGGGGCTCAAATCTGCACGTTTCAAATCATCATCCCAAGGGACCTGATGCAAGTGTCTTCGGAACATGCTTTGGAGCAATCAGTCTTTGATGGTCATTCAGGAGCTCGGTCTGAACCCCAGTCTCCAAGTTCACCCATTCATCTCTGGTACAGAGCCTCCAAGTCTCTTGTGTGAATGGGGCCCTGGACTCCAGGATGGCCAGACGAAAGGTTCTCTTCCCTTACTGGTCTGACTCCCCCCAAGTCCTGCCCCCCAAACAGCTGCACACTGGTCAGAAGCTCAGGACATGGAGAAGAGAGGACAGGTCTCTCCAAATGAATAACAAGAAAAGTCCCTGACCCACTCCACTGCCTTACCCGTCAGAGTCCAGGCCGTCTCCAGAACAGCGAAGGCTCACAGAGTTCATAGCTGGAGGCTGACAGTCGACGCACACTGTGTACCCTTCTCGGAGGTACTGCATCCATCGAGTCAGGGGGCGGTTTTCCATTGCACAGTGATGAGTCAGTGACTCGGTCTTGAACTCCATACAGTATCTAGAGAGGGAAAAAGGGGAACAGTTCCACTCACTGTAATTAGAGGTGGCCTAATGCCACAGAAAGTCTTAGGAAGCCTGTCATCCCCAAGGACATCTGACGGACTGGAGAGGGGAATGCAGCGCATCCTCACAGGTCCCTCATCGGTCACAGGACGCCTCGTGAAGTTTCTCATTTGATGAACTTTGACAACTGCAGCGACACTTTGCTCTTTTTTCGGTCCGTGACTGCATGAATTTGCAGAAATTTGGATTCCTGTATCTGTCTAGTCTGACTACTGAGTTGTGTAAAAGCACGTTTCGGTAGGAAAATAGCCCTTGATAACTCTGCTAATATTTTAATGAATTATATAAATTGAACAAGACCTTGCTTGTGTCTGAGAACATGTGAGTCCCAGGATGGCTAGTCCACGATGCCCAGGCCAGCATCACGCTTTTCTGCCCCACAGACGTTGCCAGGGGCCTCTCCTCCCCTCCTCCCCTCCTCCCCTCCTCCCGGTGCTCCCACCCCACTCCCCACCTGCATGATCTGGCATAGCAAGATGAGCTTTGACTTGAAGTCGAGCATCAAAGTTATATTGGGCATCACAGATAAAAAGAAATAGGAAGCTGAGACATGTTTTTCTGTGACAGAGACTAGTGTCACCTTGTACTGAGCTATGGAAAACTCTATATGTGACTAGACTCTAAGGGTCCCAGACATGAGTGAATATTTCAGAGCCTCGTTCTTAGCAGCGATACAATTTTACAATTCTTGAGAGAAACAAAACATAGTAAAAACCCTGAATGTTGCATTTCAGGCTCCAGCTATGCTAAAATGGGCTCGTTTTTTATCCACAGACTTATGAGCTATAGTAGGTTAGATGGAAAGTCTGCTTCAAAGAAGATACTTAAGAGTGTGGGTGCCATGTCCTGGGCCCCTTAAGCTATCGGGGTGGGAAATTCTCTGATGCAGCTTCGGTCAGCTGCAGACAGCTTAACCCAGACAGCATCTTGATGATGTTTTCTAATTAAATTCTCGTAGCAACCCCATGTGGCAAGTATTAATATTCTCAGTGTTAAAGGAGAAAAATCAGGTGCCTGGTGTGTGGCAGTGACGGGGCTGAACACACAGCCGTCTGGTGTCTGCTCTGACAGCGGAAGGGTGACTTTCTGGCGAGCACACAGGTTCCTCCCGGCCTGCGCCCTTAGGTCTTGATCTAAATCCTCAGGGCTCAGGTGTGGGCCACGTTCAAGTTCACCAAACGGAGGGGGCCGCTGGAGTCCATGGTCCCATAAAAACCAGAAGAGGCGCATCCTTAGTGACTGACGGTAATAACTCATTTTCGTGTAGCATGTTCCTTCTTGGGCATCAAACCTCAGAGACAGAGAAATCTTGATTGCCCCACAAAAACAGGAGGGAACAAGGACTTTTCCAACTGTGCTTAAGTGTCCCGTTTTACCCAAAGTCGCTGAACGAGTAACGGAAGAAAACCCAGCACCCCAAGTTGACCTTCGTGAGATGACTTGACCATACAGGTGGAAAAACAACTTTAAGAAACAAACAAACAAACAGGAAAACACCAAATTACCCGGCATCCTGGGTGCGCGTAGACCACTGCGGAGAGGCCGCTTGTCTCGCTCTCTCCTTGTTGAACGCAGAGGTAGTTATAAAGGCGGGGACTGGAAAGGAAGAATGACGGTGAACACCTGTAGCCTACACTCCCAGAGGACGTTTCCCAAACCTGGTTTCGCACCTGTCCGAAGCCGGCCGTTCCCAGTGCAGAGGTCTGCGGCACCCAGGCTGAGCTGCAGTGTCCCCAGAGCCCAAGTTCATAAAAATTTGTGCGCACCCCATGAGGGAGGAGGGGGATGCGGGCTTAGAAAGGCGGGCTCGTCTGCGGCAGTAACACGAAAGGAAGGAAGAGAGCCAGGAAGGACCCCCAAGAAAAACGGCGAGGGAATAGAGGAAGGATATTTTTTAAACGGAAGGGAGAGAAATAGAGAAGAAAAGGTAAAGGAAAGAATAAAGTAAAAAAATAGAGGAGAGAGAAAGATGAGGGAAAAGGGGTTGGAGGGAGGGAAGAAGGTGACCAGAAAGAGAGGAGTGAAAACGGGGAGCGTGGGATGCAGAGGAGGGAAGCGCGGGTGCCCCCAGGTCTCCGGTCACCGCACCCTGGAAGCTTCGCTGCCAAGCGCATAGCCCAGGTGTGGCTGCCCGGAGCCGGCCGGCTCAGCACTGTCCCCGCGCCCCCCGGGGAAGGAGTGTCTAAACCGTCCTCTCCTCTCCTCTGCCCTCTCCTCCCCACACCTCACCCAGGCTCTGAAGCTCGGGAGGGGGTGGAGGGAAGGAGCCAGGACTTCTGCCCCTCCTGCCTCTGCTCCTTCGTTCTGTCGCTCCATCCGTGCACCTCCTTCCCATTTCATCTCTCAACCTCCTTCCCATTTCATCTCTCAGTCCCGGGAGGCACCTGCCACCTGCCGCTCTGTGTGGCACCTCTTGATTCCACTCTGCTGTCAACTCAAAGAAGGCAGGGTTTCGCCTCGTTCATCACTGTAGGCCTTTCACAATTCACGCTCAGTAAGCGTGTGTGCAGTGAGTCCCTGCGTGAACGATCCAAGGACCGAGGCGCACAGGCCCTACTTCCCTGGGGTCTTCTGTTCTTGCTCTGAGCCTTGCAGCCGAAATGGCTCAACACGCCTCCCTTTCATTTCAGACACAAGGTCAACCCAGGCAGGGTCGCCACCGGCTGATGCTGGCTTCTGGACACCACAGTCATCATCAACATGAACAAAATGGCGGGAGGGTTTCCGGGGCACAAAATCGATGCTCCAAGCCTACGTGCTCATTGTACCTGGCTCTTAACCGCCACAAGATGGCAGCCTTAATTCTGTTTTAGATGTTTTTATGAGGAGTCATTTTTATATTACTAAAGAATATAAAGCAAAAGTGAGTTAATACCTGGCAGTCACTCGCTCCTAAGAGTTGAGGGCATTATTCCTGTCTCGTATGGTTTGGTGCCTAATCTCTCCAGTGAAAAGCACCTCCATCTTGTGTAAACCCTGGAGCCCCCGGCTCGTGACTCTTCCTTGCTGTACTAACATGTTTAATTGTTTTCCGAAGAGAACATGTCATGATTTCGAAATGTGACGATAGCTTTTGAAATTTCCAAAACATGGACAGAATCAAAAGGACAAGCGATTGCATGTCTGTTAGGGGCCTTTCTCTGTTTCCTTTAGACCTAATTATCAGAAGCACAAACATCTCAAGGATTTTAGTTTTCCCATGTACTGTTTTCATTTCTGTTCTTCTGATACATTTATGTATTTATTCACCGCGTGGAGAATGCGTTTACTGCTAAATCCACGTAGCATTATATCGGTCAGACCATAAAGTTTTCGGGATGTCTTTCTGTAGCTCAGAACATTTACTTGATCTCCTAATTCGTGCTGCATGTATTATTACAAAAGTTCAGAGGCATGTGCTTAATGCATAGCTCAGGGGGGAAGCGTGAGGTTAGGAGGTAGAGAGCGAGTATATGACTATAGTTTATGATATGAAATCTTAAGAAAACATTTTATAATAAAAGTGGAAGCTGACAGTTATGCACTTCTAAGTTCCAGGCACAAAGCCGCGTATTTTTATGCGTTAGCTCATTTAATTCTCACAACCACCTTCTGAGATAGGTGCTGTTTCTCCCCGACCTCACAGATGAGGAAATCGTGGCATAGAGAGGTTAAGAAATGTGTTCAAGGCTCATGTCTAAACATGGCAGTGCCAGGTGATGTCTCCAGACCATGCTCCTCACTGCCAGGCACAGCGGCCTCTGTTATAATGCAGGTCGGAAAGTGTCACTATTTTAAATGCAGCATATTCCCCATGAATTATTTATATGCTCCTTTATTTTCCTTTTCTGCCCCTAATCACTGTCCATAACGTCAAGTGAGATCTCAGAGAAGACAAAGAAAAGTTTTAGCCTTTGCACTCTGAGTCCCCTGAGGTCACGGGGCTGAGGTCACGGGCCAGAAGCTGGAGGAGGGCCCAGCTTCTCCAGGAATAACGCCTACCTGTAGGATGGCACCTTGTATGCTTATAGTCTGCTTATTTACAAAGTACTCTCATGTCCTGTGTCACCGGTCTTCATGAAAGCTTTGTAAAGAGGTGTTCTGATCAGAAGTTTTTCTCATCAGAGGCTCATAGAAGTTAAATGAAGGGAAAATAAAATAGTCCATGACTGAGCCAGGGGCTTGACACAGAAGACAGCTCCTGTTTCTTTAAGACCTACAATCCAAGGCCCTGTGAAGCCTCTGTGGTTATGACCCATCATGACAGCGGGCCAGTATCCCTGGGCCTCATCTCCTGCGTGTCCTGCCCCCTCCGCCCAGCTTGGATGGGCGGCACATTCTCCTGGGAGGGCGCCTTCCCACTCGCCTCGAGTCCTCAGTCAACAGGCCAAGTCGCCTGGGGGTTTCTGAGCCAGCACCCCTTTTTAATCTCCCCGACAAATTTAATTTTCATTACTTAAGAGCGATAAGTAATTTAGAAATAATTTTTGCCTCCAGTCCCACTTCTGCCTACGTGTGGAAGCCTGGCACTGGGGACAAAGACTGGGTAAATGCTAGTCCCCCCTTCCTGGCGACGACATCGAAATGTAACAGATTCTTTGTTAACAGGCTATGTGCCAGCTTTTCTGGCATTCTGTCAGCCTACCATTGTTCAGTCTTACAGCTCCCGCCTCCGAAAGCATGGCACCGCACACGCTGACTGTGAACATGAAAGTAAATTAAATTTGCTTTGAATATTTTTTACAGCCCTCTGACACCACGGGGTGTCACGATAGCCGGCTTCGAGCCACTGGTCTGTAAATATAGCATAAAAAAGAAGAGAAAGAAAATCTGACGAATAACACCAGTCTGGATGCATACAGTTTATGATGCACATTGATCTTGTAGGAGGAAAGCACATATAAACAATTGTCCGTATGTGCAACAAATACAATCATGTGGGTTTTTTTAGATTTGTTTTTATGATAAAAATATAGTCAAGATATGCATTAAATGAAACAGGAAAAAATGCAATAGCTACTTGATCATTAATGAGAGGGCTTCCGTGATCATGTTCACTGGCCTCGCAGGGCCTTTATATTTCTACTTAGAATTAGCAGAATCTGTCATTGCGATTTTAACTTTAATGATAACAATTAACCGCAAAATAATACCAAGCGTGGGGCAGGGAGCTGGGGGAGACCCAGAGGATTTAGAACCATGAGATCCAGGTGTCAATTCTGGTCCCCTTCACAAGTGCTGTCACCTCTGAGCCCGGTGTCCTCATGTGTCAACCTTAATGACGCTGTCCTACTTCTATGACAGACAACACCGTGGCCCCCAAAAGATGACCACATCCGAATCCCCAGAACCTGTGAATATGTTATGTGTCATGGCAAAGAGAAATTGGGTTGCCGATGAGCTGACCTTGAGAGAGGGAGGTCATCCTGGCTTGTCCAAGTGGCCCCTAGGCAGTCACAGTGGGAAAAGGGGTCACATGAGAGTCCTAGAAAGACACGTCCCTGGAAAGACGGCGCAGAGAGGTGCAGTGTGGCCGGCTGTCACAAAGGAGGAAGGACCGCAGGAAAAGGGATGCAGACAGCCTCTGGATGACAGAAAAGGCAAAGAAACAGGGTCTCCCCCAAAGCCTGGGGAAGGAACGCGGCTGCTGACAGCGTGACCGCAGCCCAGTGAGGTCGACCCTGACTTCTGCCTACGAACTGCAAGGTCATGCGTCTCTGCTGCTTAGATCACTCGGTTTGTGGTCACTGGTGACCTCTGAACTTCTGAGGTATCGACGGGAAGTAATACAACCACACCCTTCGTGTTTTTCTCTAGAACAAGCTTTCCTAAGAGTGAATCTCTTCATTTTAATGTCTTTCGCCATTTTGCTAGGCTGAGAATTTCCCGATCCATCAAGTCCCGGGTCTATCGGGATGAACGGCTCTGCCCTCCGTCTGTCTGTCTCTGCAAGGAGCAACCCGGCGTTCTGCTGGGAAACCTCAGTACCCAAGTTCATCGCGTGTAAGTTGTACTTCCCACATAGCTGCAGGAGCCAGTTCCGCTGAGCTCCTGGCCCCTAATAACAGCGAACCCCTTTCCACCTCGGAAAGACGAGGAAACGAGGAAACAGATCCCCACCTGGAGTGTCCTGGAGGAAACACAGCCCTGCTGACTCACTCGACTGCAGCCCAGTGAGACCTGGGCTGGACTTCCAGCCCACAGAATCGGAGGATAATAAGTTTGTGTTATTTTAAGCCACTGAGTTTGCAGCAATTTGTTATAGCAGCCATAGAAAACTCATGTATCATCTGACGGGGTTGCTATGAAGACTGAATCGATGTCTCAGCCATGCACATGCGAGAGGTTAGTGAGCCATGCAGCAGAGGCTCCTGCTCTGTGGGTAAGAGGCCTGGGGTTGGTGGGGAGGAGGGCGGGGTGGGGGGGGCACAGGTGCACAAGCGAGCGCACAGCAGGTCTGAGAGCCCCCAGACCGAGGCGGGCGCCCCTTCCCCGTGCTCCCTCGCCAGCCTGCACATCCCGCTGTCACAGCGCTCACGCGGCACCCGAGTTCTGACTAACGGTGATACTGCTGCTATTCGGCTTGGCATCTCCGGACCGCTGCGCAGCGCTGCTGTGTACTAGGAGCTCAGTGAGTCAATGAAATGCATAAATGAAGGCAAAGGAGCTGGGCGGGAAGGGCCTGGGGCCTGGAGAATTCGCCGCCGCGGAGTGTGACATCACTGTCTCACTTCGCTCTCATTTCATTGAGGAAGCCATCCTTTTCCAACGTGTATCCCACAGAACACTGGTGATGTCACGACATACCCCTGGGAAAAAAGGGGTCATTTAATCAAGTAAGGTGGGAAGACATCCCACGTCTTCTTCCTCTTGTTGAATAAAAAATGCACGTTAGCATCACAAAGAGAGGTTCTCTGGCGGAGGAAACCGTCTGATTTACCTCTACTCTCCTACCTCAATCCCTTTTTTTTGCACTTTGGGAACTTCTGCCCTCGGGAAAGTGTCATTTAAGTGATCCAGCTATGAAGCAGGGGCCCAGGAAAGAACCGTGGCTGGAGCATCGATTCTCCAATTCAGGTGAGCAGCCCTCTGCCCCTGAGGCCTCGTCGCAAGCGGAGAGCCAGGCTGGCGCCAGTGACCGTGGGTCTGGGCGGGGCCGGAGGAACTTGCGTTTCCAACCAGTTCCCTGTGTCCCTTGTCGCCAGCTTGACTGAGTTTGCTACAAAGCGAGTGGTGCCCGCGGAGAGGGGGCCACCCCTGGGCGATAAGCACACGGAGGGAATAGCAGAGCGGGCAGGGCGGGGGACGTTTATGCAGCTGGCCGGTAGCTCCTGTATCTGGCATTTCCTGAGCTCTCCCTATCTGCTGCGGGCAGGCCGGCCCACCCCACTCCCTGCAGCTCATGGAACTTTCCCTGTGCAGCACCTGGCCTTTTATGGGATGAAGAGATGGAAAGTCACCGAAGACCGCAAGGCAGCGCGCGTGCAAAGCTCCGTACCGAAGGCGTGCCCGCAGGCCCGGCCCTGGGGCGTCGAGTACTGCAGGCAGCCGGCTCGCTCCTCCAGGGCCGGGCAGGGCGCCCCGCCGTTCCGGGGCTCTTGCTGCACCGGGCGCCTCCGCACGCGGGCCGTCGGCTTGCACTGGTCGGCACAGCCGCTCCAGGGGCTCCAGGACCCCACGATGCAAGGGCGAGCTGAAAAACAGCAGGACGGCGCTCAGCCGGGAGGCCGCGGGCCAGCGCTCCCCCCTCCACGCCGCCGCCAACTGTGCCGACCGCCCGCGGCACTGCCCTGCCCTGCCCCAGGAGGAAGTCACAGCAGGGCCAGGGGACACTGGCTCCGCTGCCCTGCCAGCGCCTGGCGGAGGTGCAGGATCAGGAAGGTGGGTCTGAGCCGGGGACACACCCCGCAGAGACACGGAGGCCTGCAGGGTACTTCCTCATACTCCCCGCCTCGGTCAGGGCTTTGCTCTGGGTTTCCCCTGATTTTAACTGTCCCCTCCCCTGGCTAGAACCTTTTTTATTATAACAGTAATACATAGTCATTGTAGAAAACGTAAAGGATAAAACAAAATTATTAAAAAAAAAATGTCCTTCACTCACCAAGCATCCCATCTCCTACCCAAGTCCATTTCAGCAACTATGTTTCCAGAAGACACAGCTCAGGGCCACACCGAGGGACCCCTAACTGTAGGCTGCTCCGGGATGCTCAGCCTCATCCCCCATGGCTCACAGAAACTGTGAGAGCTGGAGTTAGAGATGAGCAGGCAGGGCCCGTGGGGGTGAGAGCTCTCGCGGTGCCATGAGGGGCAGAGTCAGGCGGAGAATCCGGCCGGAGCTTCGATTCTCTCTCTGGCCATGGCTGTGGAATCAATGTGGCTGCCCAGCTAACTTCCCCCTTTAAAGTCCTACTGAGTCTTTCTGAAGGAGGGTAATGAGTTTTTTAATTGATTGTAAATAACTGAATTATTTCAAGATTTGAAATTAGACGTTTCAAGAAAAGGTCAAGAAGACAGAAGATGCGACCTCTGAACTAGATGCCGAAACTTTCTCACGAAACGCGACTCGCGTTCCCTGTCACCCTCGTACTTCCCCGTGTGCAGAGTCTGCGCCAAGAAAGCACCTACAGGTCCTTGAAATCTTGGCTCGGGCTTCCGGCTGTACCTGAAAACTCACTTTGCCTCTGAGCACGCTCTAGGGGTTCGTGGCTTTTGAAAGACACATGGTTTGGCAGCACATAGCTACCCCTGGCAAAAAAAAAAGGGTCACATATAACATAAACCTCTGTCACTAATTCAAAAACTTCAGACTGTTTTCAAATATGTTTGTATCCATCATCTAAAAACTCAGGTATCGCGTGACTCATAGGTCAGTTACCTAAAGCAGCAAGAACGGGCCATGTCAGCGTCCATCCCCAACACACGCCCTCTGGACACTCGGTCACGGGCCCCTTCCCGCTCTTGTTATCCCCTGTTACCCTTCCCTCTTCATTTTCGGGGCTCCGTGATTTAATCGTCCCTGAACGACACCACCCGGACGGCTCCGTGGAATACAGAAGGAAAGACATTCACAGAGAATTAGAGTCCACAGAGTCGAAAGGTGTCCCACAAAATGCCTGGAAGTGGAAGGTTAACTGGAGCTGTTTACTCCTGCACACTCACAGACACACGCGCACGCACACACACGCGCACGCACACACCTGTTCTGCACACACACAGACACACACGCGCACGCACACACACGCGCACGCACACACACTCCCGCGCACACACACACACGCTCTATTCTTGACTACGGGTGACCGTCTGATGATCTGGATTGTAAGTCGTCATAGGTCACGTGCACTCACACACACCCACATGCACACACACACACGCGCACACACACACATGATCTATTCTTGACTAACGGGCGACCATCTGATGATCTGGATTGTAAGTCGTCATAGGTCACAAGCGATCCTCGGTCACGGAGTGACAGGAAGGGCGGGACTTCTGGCAGAGTTATTACCACGCGTCGTACATCACAGCTGCACGACACAGACTTCCTTTGAGTGTTCTCGTCTCCGTCCCACTGCGCTTATCGAATCCTATCTAGAAACGGCACATCCAAATATTCTTTCTTAAAATCTGACTTCCTCCATCTTCACATTTTGCTCGCTGTTCCTGGGGCCCAAAAGGCTGTTACCTAGTGAGCATGGGATCGCCTTTGGCTGTGAGCTTGTCACAGCTTCCGCATATCTAGATGATTAGGGTATGATGACATCATCCCACTCGTTTTTAGGGGACAGAGGCCTAGATTCAGTGGGTGCCAGGAAGCTCCACAAAGCCTTTTTTCTTTTCTTCTTTTTTGTTTAAACCCAACATAATATTCAGGTTGAGTTTCCCCAGAAGCGGCTCCTGGAACACGGATTTGAACGCGCGTAATTTGTTTGGGGGTGATCCCAGGAAGCGTACTGAAGGACTGGAGCGCGCAGACGGGGAGCAGGCGCGGAGGAGCGCCCAGAGACAGGACGTGGACACCCGGGTTCCTGGTTTAGGCCCCGTGGGCGCCCCTGGCTGTCAGCTCAGTGGCAAGCGAGCTAACCCAGGGCGTGGGAATGAGCAAGTCCTTCGGCTGTACCAGCCGGTCCCCCTTCCTCAAGAGCCTTCTGGTTATCGGATGTCCTTGCCACAGCCACGAGACGGGGCCAGGAACACTGTTTCAGTAACAAGCCTGCCCACAAGAGTAGGGAGCGTTTCCACATGTCCTAATGGTGTCCAGTCGTAGCCACATACAATTACCTTAAAAGATGCTCCGCTGATTTTTTTTTTTTTTAATTAATGGCTTTTTAAACGCCCTCAGTGGTTTGCCATTGAATTTGGAATGAAATTCCAACTCCTTGCGGTGAGTGCCGGGCCTGCGTCTCCCCTCCACCCCACCCCACCCCGCACTCTGAGCTCCGGCCACGCTGGCCTCTTGATCCCTGGAACACCCCGAACTCTCCCACACTCTGGGACCTTCGTTGCCTTCAGGGTGTCTTTCTCCTGCCAGCTCAGCTATGCTGTCTCCCAGCCCGCCCCCCACACACCCCTCACAATTACTTCCTCTCAGGATTCAGTGTTCTTTGCCTTCCAGCTTCTCCATGATTCATAATTATTATCATATTTTTCGGTTTATTGTCGAGTTTTTCACTTCATGTCTAGTGTTTGGCACATGGTGGGTACTCAAGAAGTATTTGTTGAATGAATGAAGAAAATGGCATCAGGCAAGTTCTTCTTTTTTCCTAAATAATGGTCTACATTGAAACAGAGCCTGGTCTGCTCATGTCATTAGTTGGAAGGCGAAGCACCGGCACTGGCACCGGCACCGGCTCCAGAGTGGGAAGGAAAGAACAGGAGCCGAACCAGAGGTCCCGGACCCAGAAGACAGGGGCGCTTGCCCCGGCCCCGGGTGCCTGCCCTCTCCTGGCAACGGCGGCCCCCAAAGGTGCCGCTGGAAGGGGCCCGGCTTCTGTGCCCTCACATTAGGTAGAGCCTGGCTTCGGGCAGCCACAAGTCCTCCAAACCCTTTGTAATCCACTTATACCTCCTGCCAGTACCGTATCTTAGATGTAACAAGCTCCTTTCATTGTATTATCTGTGATGCGAAGAGGTATTTCCTTTCATCTGAGCCAAACTGCCCTCACACAAGAATTTCAGAGTATGGTGCAAAAAATATATAGATCTGTTTATCTCATCTGTGCCACCCCCAGACCTGCTGTTCCAGGGGGCCCCCGTCCCTCGACGTGGCCTTGCCAGGTTGACGATTCCAGCTTTGGGGCCCTCCTTTCTATAGACACGTCCCCTCTCGGAATCACCACTGGGCTCTCCAGAGGTTCATTCACAGCCTCGGTGAGTTGTGGCAGCCAGAACTGGGCTCACCATTCTCAGTCCTTAGGTACCAAAGGGTAATTAAAGAAAAAAAATAATCTTTCTAATGCTTTTCTTGATGGTGCCAAATACACACACACACACAGAGAGCAACAAACTCAGCTGACAGCCAGAGTCCTTCATTTCGTAAATATAGTTTAGGTGTATTTCTTCTTACTAGAAAGCCTGGCTCTTGTTCTCACGTAGCATCTCCTTGGTTAATGGCAGACACTCCAGCATCCCCTTTGTAATCTGGCCCCGCCCGCTTGGCTCTCTGCCACCTCCGAGTTGGAGGCCACCCACGATCAAGGGCCTTCTCCCGCACACTGTTGAGTTCAGAGAGTCCCTGTCACCCCTCAGGAAACACTCCCTTTACACTCCGCTCACAGAAGTGCCCCTTACGCATGGCTTTTGTTTCCTGACATTCTGTGGGAGAGGAAGAAGCCCCCGTATCCACACGCGCACACGCGTTTAAATGTGATATCTGCTTTTTCCTCTTCTCCAGATGTAGATCCTTTTCTTTGGAACGTCCCCAAAACATCTGACCGTCGAAGGAGACTACATCGCCCAAGTGCCTATTTGCCCCTCGAAAAAGCTCCAATGAAATGATTAGGTATTTTTTTCCTCTTGCAGAAACCATGTTATCTGGCCCCTAGTAACTTTTTTTCTCTTTTGAGACATGAACTGGACAAGTGCATGAAATGCTAGCAAGACAGTGGAATGGGCTGCCTCGCTAGAAAACTGGAATAATACGCCACGCAAACCCAGGGAAAAGAGAGGGTGCAAATTAAAAAGATGACGCTTTTTTCTGGGCATTACATTTCCAGGTGAATTGTTTCCTTCTTTTGTGCCTTTCTATACTTTCCAAATGTTCTGCAACAAATATAGATTTTGTAGTGAAGGAAGGAAAATGGAAAATATTTTTACAAGGACACGTGGCTCCGCCCTGGCTGGCCGTGCCCTCTGAAACAGCGGAGAACGTCCCCTTGGCGGAATGACTGCTCAGTGTTTTGACAAACGCTATCAAACGGCTCCAGGACAGCCATCGAGGGACTGCGAAGGGGGGCGGGACGCACTTCGGCCCTCGAGCACACAGTTTGTGGAGGGAGAAGCCTCACGCACGCTACCAGTCTTCATCTGCGGCCCGCCCTGCCAAGTTCACAGCTGCTCTTAACCCCTCATTTCTCCCAGGCAGTAAGAACAGGAAGCTCAACTGGGTGGGCTCTGGATCCAGAGGTCCTGGGTGCAAATCTCGCCCCTTCACTTATCCGTAGTGACTTTGGACAAATTGCCTAATCTCCAACCTCCCGATGCTCTGATCACCTCATCTGTAAAATGAGACCGAAATGAGGGACACGGGCACACCTCGCTCTACTGCATGTGCATTGCGCTTCGCAGATGCTGCTGCATTTTTACAAGTCGAAGGCAAGACCTTCCGCCAGCAAAAGGATTATGACCCGCTTTACTGTGATACTCTCTCTACTGCAGCAATCTGGAACCAAACCTGCAACATCCCTATGACCTCGGTGGGTTGTGAGACCCCAGTAAGTGTAGAGCTGTGAGGTGCCTGTGAGAGGGCCTGGCCTGGAGCAGATGCTGGGGAGGCTGTGACAATATCCTCTCCTTGACTACACACCCAGGGCTGCAGCCAAACCCTGCATGTCCAATGCCGGCGCCAGGCCCTGCGCGTTTTCTTCTGCGGAGACAAAGGCAGGGAGGGCCACATGCTGTCTCTCGGCTGCTCTGGCTCCAGCAGAGCCTCAACTTCCTAAATCATCGGAGGCTGTGACCTCCTTCCTCTGGGTGAGTTATGGAGCCCATATTGTGAAGGAAGGTGCCCCTTCTCCCTCCAGATATGATGTCAGCAGATTTCGGCCAGCTGGTTTCCTAGATCCCCTATAAATCTAGAAGAGACTGGCCCATAGAGACCACCCAGTTTTTGTCCTTCTCTGCTTGGGTTAATTATTCCTCTTTCCTTAAGTTGCTCACCCAAGACCTAATGCAACCTACGATCTTTTCTGTGATCTTAGAATGAAGAGTCTAGAAACTCAGCTGGTGACTAGAGATTGGGTTGTTCTGAGCCCGATGAGCAAGGCTTCCACAAAGTTCGTCCAGGGCAGGAAATGTGGACCTGTCCCCCTCCTCTGCTTCCCTCCTTCCCCCATCCCTGATCAGGCCAATGGAGAATTTTCCATCTTTTTCTTTGTGGGGGCTGGGGCCAGTGAAAATGCATAATTAGTATGGAAACTGAGATAATTTGTTTCAGAAGATTTTTTTTTTTACGACAGCTTAGTTATTCTATAATCCAGTAACTTATTTTATTTTTACTGAGTAAAATTTAGAAAAAGAATTTCCAGTACTTCATCTTTTAGCCGCGTCCCCCAAAATGCATGTCTCAGGATGAAAAAATCAGAAGGAACGGAAGTAAGGCACGCTTCGCTCTGACACAGTTCCACTTTGTTTGCATTTAACGTCACTTCAGCCCAAAAGGCTTCGGCGGCATCCGTGGGTACCACAGCAGAGGATGAGGAGAAGAGGGTCTAAGAGGCAGAATGGCCTCTGTCTGCAGAGCGGCCGGGACCCTGCCGAGCCCTGGTTTAGAGAGGGATGAGCCATCGCCGTGCACTGGCACAGACGATGGGTTCAGCTCTCACTCCGCTGCCCTTCTTGGTAACTAGTAATGGAAGAGCCCCGAACACTCGCAGCTCCTGCAGCTGTAAAATGCTCGGACGGGCCAGCCCCACCTTCTCCAAAGCCCAGAGTCAGCACGCTTGTGACGCTTGTCCAGGGCTGAGGACACCAAGCATCCCAGCTCCACTGCGTGCCCGTCACTCTCGCCCTCCGCTCTGAGGCGCCAGCTGGCTCAGTCCTGCCAAGCGGCCAGCTTCCAAGTGTCTCTGTCTCCTTCCTCCCTTCCCGAAAAACTCCAGGTGCAGCAGATTTACCAACGAGAAGCCTTTTCGGTCCCCATGTCCCCGCATCTTCTGCTAGGCTAGATTTCTTCCCGAGTCCTTCCAGAGATGGTAGGTCACCTCCTGTCTTCCGCTGTCCCTCACCCAATAATTCCCACTCCAAGATGACGGGCTCTTTGTTTTAATATTTCTACCTCCTGGGCTGAAAATAAGGGGCTTATTTTTGACCAAATAAAGACTTTGAGGATTCTGCAGCTCCTCTCGCGCTGTTAAGCCAGTTTTTCTCAGGACGCTCGCCCGTCTTTCCCCATCCTTTGTCTGTGCGAACTTTTCCGTTTCTAGCTGCTTTCACTGTCCTGTTCTCGAGGTTGGCCTCACGCCTAGCCTAGCGCCTGGCACGAAAGGCTGACGCCCACGGGTAACTGGTGAAGCTTTCCTCCTAGAATGACCTTCCCCTTCTAGAGACCTCTAGCTCATTCTCCGGGCCTAGGCTTGCCCGTCACTCCCTCCGAGAAGTCTTCCTTGAATTCTGCTGGTCTGCGTTCGCCTCTCTGGCCTCCCAGGCTCCTTATTTTGGCACTGAGCACGTTGCGAGCGCTTTTTCATGTGAGTTTCCCTGCTCGACTATGAGCTTCTAGGGGCCGGAGACTGTACCTCCATCACCTCTGTGTCACTGTGCTTACCATATACAGTCCACAGCACATCGTTTGAGGTTCAGGAATTCTGTATTTTCCTTTAAGGTGTAGGTAAATCCCTCATGAGAGACAGCTGAGTGAGAGAAGCGGCCATAGTGGACAGGCTTTACTAGAGGACCCAAGTACCTGAGGAAAACAGGCATTTAAGTAGGACGGGGCTACTGAGGGGCTGGCGGCTAGGGACAGTTGGCCTGAGGGCACTGCATTTCCTAAAAAACTGACTCTTTACCTTACTCTAGCAGTAAAATCCCCTGGCCTTGGAGCAGGAAAAGGAAAGAAGTTTATCAAAACAAAGATCAGTATTCATAGGTAAATCATTAGCTTTCCATCGGGGTCAAAAAATCTTACTGTTTTCAACAGCAGGCCTGGGCGACCATCCTGCCAGAGGCTGGTGGCCTCTTCCTGCAGACAGGAGGCAGAAGGGGAGGGATGCTACTCTCCAGCAGGCCCCCAGCCCTGCAGGTTACTCTCCCAGGAGGATGCTCAGGATCCCACAACACGGGGTCCTTGAGGTCAGACCCTATCAACCATGTGGCTTTTGGGGGTGATGTGGTTAAGAGGGAGTGGAGCTACTTTCACTTCCGGAGCTGGCTTCTCTCAAGTACACCTTGTTCTTCAGGGCTTGTTCCTTCTTTACCTTTTAATTTAATTAAACCGACATTTGTTGAGTCCGTACTGTGGGGCTGTGATACCGTGGGAAATTTAATGATGAAAGAGACTGACCCTTAAGGAGAACCAGCAAGATTCAAACATAATCGGATCTCAGATAAAAATCTTTATCAAGCTATGTGTAGATGCCATTGAATTCAAAGAACAGAGGAAGAAGGCGCCATGCCACCTGCTGGAGTCTGGCGGAGGGGACAGCTCTGCTCCCCCAAGAACTTGTACTGCAGGAGAACGTACCCCAACCCAGAGCAAGCCCCTGGCACAGGGTGAGCTGGTCACGAGGTCCTCCCCCTCCTCACCCCTCACCCAGCCTTTCCGATCCCCAGGGATTAACAGAAGGGCCATGGCGGAGCCTGAGCCAGGGATGGGTCCCTGAACCTGTGAGTGCCATCTCTCCAGGCCGGAGGTGGCCCTACCAAGCTGGATTCCTGAGTCGAAGGATTCATCCAGCGGAGGTGCCCTGCGCCCTTCCAGACAGACAACTGGAACACCCTGGCCTCGAGCAGGAAAGTGAAAGAAGTTTATCCAAAAAAAAAACCAGATCAGTATTCGTAGGTAAATCATTAGCTTTCTATCCAGGCTCTGGCGGGAGGGGTGCTTTGGAGGCTGGAGGGGCCTGGATGAAGAGTTTGGGGTGCACACAGGTGAGGGGCTGGAAGCCCCTGGGTAGATGGAGCTGGGTGTCACTGCATGCAGGGGCTGAACCGAGGACCCTAGGATGAGAGAGCCGGGTGTACGTGGACGCGAGGGGCTGCAGTGGGCTGGCACCGAGGGACTGGACCCGCCGAGGTGGAAGGGGCCGGGACGCCTGGGTCCGTGGTTCGCGGTCCTTGCTGTGGGACTCTGCCCCTTGGCGCGGGCTGAAGGCCCCGCACTCACCTGGACACGCCCTGGCGTAGTCGAAGCAGCAGTCCCCGGTGAGAAGACAGGCTTGGTCGCAGAAGCACGTCCCGTAGACCCTGTCCAGCCTCCAGCCGCGGGCGAAGCAGGCGGGGTCCCGGCCCGGGCAG